CCCTCCTCATACCCAGCGCTTAATATTCCACCTGAAAGTAGGGGGTGGATGAGATTCGAACCCGTGACCTTTATGTCACGCTGGCTCCGATACCATGTTAGTGGACCAACTCAACCAAAATATGTTTTATACTCTATCACTTTTCTTCTTTGACTATTGGCTTAGGTTATCCAAGGACAAATGGAGCAAGCTGCTGTAGTGTTTAAAGAGCTAGTGCGTCAAGAACTTTTGGTCAATGACAAGGACCCAAAAGAAAGGCTAGCATTTCTAGATGACGTACATCGACTTGGAGTAGCATATCACTTTGAAGATGAAATTGAAGACATCTTTCAAAAATTCTATAACAAGTTTTATGTTGATAGTTGCTATGAGGATGATCTTCACTATGTTTCATTACGCTTTCGTCTTTTACGACAACATGGATTCTTTGTTTCATGTGGTATGACACCATCTTCATCACAAATTCACAATTACATTGTACTTGCATAGTTTTTTTTTTTTTTTTTTTTTTTTTTTTTTTTTTTTTATGTGTTTAATTTATTAACATTTGAAGATTATTAATTTTTTTTTTTATTTACTAAACAAGATGTATTTGAAAACTTCAAATGTGAGGACAAAGGCTTTAAGGATTTTCTAGCAAGTGATGTGCAAGGCTTATTGAACTTGTATGAAGCATCATATCTAGGAGTACATGGAGAGAAAACACTCGACGAAGCTCGTGCATTTGCTACTACTCATCTAACCTCCTTTGCTACACAATTAAGCTCTCCCATGGCCGAACAAGTAGCCCATGCCTTGAAACTACCCCTCCAACGACGTAGTATAAGACTAGAATCACGGCATCAAATCTCATTTTATGAGTCAAAGCTTTGCAACAATGAAACTTTGCTTAAATTTGCAAAGTTAGATTTTAACTTGCTTCAAATATTGCACAACACGGAACTTAGAGATCTTACCAGGTAAACATGATAGGTACCTTAATATATTTGGATACAATTATTCAGAAATCTAGCTACTTTTTTAAATACGGTTTATTCTACTTAACAATACATACAGGTGGTGGAGAAGCGTAGATATGGAAAAAAAATTACCTTTTGTACGACATCGATTGGTAGAGGTTTACTTCTGGATTTTGGGCGTGTACTATGAACCTAAGTACTCGTATGCGAGGATGTTGTTAAACAAATTGTGCAAAATTTTATCTATTGTAGATGACATCTACGACGCTTATGGAACTATCGAAGAGTTAAAATCCTTCACAAAAGCAATTCAAAGGTTCGTTAACATGAATATATACATGAATCTAAATATTTTTTTTTTAACCTAGCTAATTAGAATTTTGACTTCATGAAATATTAGGTGGGACAAAAGTTGCATCGACCAATTTCCGAGCTACTTGAGAGAAATGTATCAAGTTATCTTAGACACTTTTCAAGAAATTGAGCAAAATTTAGCTTTGGAGCAACGATCATTTGGTGTTTATCTTCTCCAACAACAAGTACATACTAAAGCTTTATCTACAATACATAGATTTGTTTTGCTTGAGAAATTATTTAACTAAATCTATGTTATAGATGAACGTTACATGTCAAGCTTACTTGCATGAAGCTATGTGGCGTCATGAAAATGTTGTTCCTACATTTGACGAATACATGAAAAATGCCATTGGAAGCTCCGGCTATTTGTACGTAATAACTGCCTCTTTTATCGGCATGGGGGAGTTAGCAACTAAGGATGCCTTTGAATCGGTCGACCGAACAACAAAGGCTCAAAAAGCTTCATGCATACTCGCCAGGCTCTTGAATGACATTGCTAGCCATGAGGTATGTACCGACCTATAAAAGACTCTAGTTTGGTATGACACATTTTTCTATATACATACATATATATATATATATATTAATGAGTAAGCTAACTGTGCTTGTGCATAAATTTACTTCAAACTATGCATAATATTTCTCCATTTACTCATCAGCTTTAAGACCCTTCGATTCTCTCCCTCATCCTCTGTTGTTGCACGTATTAAGCTAAATGTGCATCCTTTTGAAATAAATATGCAAAATTTAGCAACAAGAATACTAATTTTGAATTCATCTAGTTACAAGTTATTTAGGAAAATGATACAACTACTCACAAAAATATATATTGGAATAATACTTGCTTTTTAGTTGTTACTCTATATATACCTCCTTGTTGTGGCTCTATTGACGGCATTCGCTTGAGAAATTTCTCCAGATTCGAATAAGAAACACGAGTAAAGCTAGAAATTTAGCGATTATAAAATTAAGGTTCTTGATTAATTCCAAAAGTTATATACAAATTTAAACTTAGCTTTGAAAAGAAGTGGGAGATTTGAGGTGTGAGAAATACAAAAGTTATGGAGGTGTGTTGAAAAATGAAGCAATAAAAAGAGTTGTACATTGATGAAGCTAGCAGTAGATGATATCGGGCTTTTCAGTTTTTTTTGGTCTAATTAAAATTAGGCTTGTTTCCAGCTTTTGCATGGTCTGTTAGATTTTTTTTTTACACTATTCTATATTTTTGAAGGGTTAGGACTTAGGATGTCTTCTCATTTTAATATCCTTTTCATTGGATCACAACTCTATTTATATATATTATTATATTAAAAAATATCATCTTTTGGTATATGCTGCAAATTTACTTTTATAAATATTTTCTTTGATGCTCTAAAAAACAACATTCACAACCTTACCATGTCCATAACTTATTACAAATTTATTTTTCAACGATCATAGCGGTTACTCAATTTCAATATTATTCATTATTTTTATTGGTGTTTTTTTTTAGTTCGAGAAGAAAAGAAACCATGTTTCGTCTGCAATAGATTGCTACATGGATCAATTTGGAACCTCCATCGAAGAAGCTACGAGGGGGCTTCAAGCACACATTGAGGAAGCATGGAAGGACACTAACGATGAAATACTTGAGCCAAAAATCGTGCCAAAGCCTTTGCTTTTGCGAGTCATCAACTTATCAAGGACATTATATGACATGTATCACAACGCTGAAGATGGCTATACTACTAGCACGTTTACGCAAGAAAAAGTTGCCAAAGTTCTTATTCATCCTATTGCATCATCATATATATTGGTTTTATGTGTCTCTTTTACTACCTTAGATTTTACTTTTGTGTTGAGAAATTTACCTTTGTGTTAAAATTAGTGCTTCAAAGTTAGTCTATTTTGTTTTTACTATTGTTACTTAGTAAAATTAGGGGGTTAAGTTGACTAATAATGGGCTATAATCATGGAGCAGTATCGACAACTACTCCATGCATGATAGGCACGTTCATCCCACGTAAGATTGCATGTTTTTTAATTTCTTATTTTTTAGTGAATTCCTTCCTATTGTAAGCCTATATAATAGGCACCTTTGTTAGTTTCTAATTGAATGATAATGCAGTTTTAATTTCCTACGCTTTTATCCTTGTGTTTTGCTTTCGTATTTCCAACACTTTGGTGATGAATAAATATTTGCATTGAAATGACGGTATAATTTCTACGTTTTTTTTTTTTTTTGAAATCTATACTTTTAGGAAAATTTGTAAATTGCAGCCATTTAAAGTTCGTATTTTGCAAATTGCAGCCACTTAAATTTTTTTTTTGCAAATTGCAGCCCAAAAATTCGTATAAATTGTAAATTGCAGCCCGATTCAATTTTTTCATCGGTTTACATGTTGAAAAATCTTCGGTTAAGGTTTTAGGGGTCATTTTAGACCTTAGGGACCTGAATTGAGCTCGGAATTAGCAAAAAAAACGTAAGTATCTCGTTTTGCGTAACAAAAATGTATCGATTTGTGGGAAACTGTAAATATAAGACACTTACGTTATTTTTTTGCTAATTCCGAGCTCAATTCGGGCCCCTAAGGGCTAAAATGATCCCTAAAACCTTAACTGAAGATTTTTCAACATGTAAACCGATGAAAAAATTGAATTGGGCTGCAATTTACAATTTATACGAAGTTTTGGGCTGCAATTTGCAAAAAAAAATTTAAATGGCTGCAATTTGCAAAATAAGAACTTTAAATGGCTGCAATTTGCTAATTTTTCATGCTTTTATATTAAAAAGCATTCTTAAAATCGTTTATGTGTCACGTTGTTCCCCTCTATAGCATTGTGTCACATCATCACTTAATGACATGTCATTACTCATTACCAATTAACAAATTATTGCAACTATTACGGATAGATTAATATTAAAAAACATTTGATGGGTTTCGAACACCAGACCATGAGGATACAAGATTTAACTCGTTACCATCTTAGCTAATAATAATTCATGTCATCTATACAAATAAATATAACTATAAACAACACACACCAATTAAAAAGAAAACGAGATAAGCAGTTTGAAAAAAATTAAGAGAAATAAAATCAACATTTCTCAAACAATAGAGTATTAAAAATTGCTTTATATACTCTTTGTTAATTAGTAACATTATGTTTAACATTTTTGCATAACATACATAAGGGATGATAATATATTTCATAAATAAACAATTTGATCAAAGTGGTAACCCGGTGCAATGCTCGGGCCGCACACTAGTTACCTATCATTTGGGTTGGGTTGGGTTGGGTTGGGTTGGGTAGGGTAGGGTGGGGGGGGGGAGTTCAAACATGGAGTAATTACAAATTGAAGGTACTAACGTTTGCCAAAAGTTGCAGTTAAGTTACTAAAGTTTTAGAAGTTGCATGTAGAGTACTCAACAGAAAAATAACCTTCTACAACAGGTTGCCAAAAAAAAAGGAAATTAAATTTCTGACATTAAGTCAGAAGGTACTAATGTTTGCAATTGTTCAATGTTTTGAGCGGTTAAAATATAGCCGTTACTACTCAAAAAATAAATGACTTCCATTTATATTGCTCTCCATAGCCATCTTTTTCTACTGAGATACCTTGCAGAAAAAAAAAAAAATCAGAAGAAGCATTGACAAAAATTATAGGCAAATTTACTTTTTTTTTTTTAAAGAATTTGTAACATGTCAAGGCTAAGCAACTCTAGGAGTAGATGTCACTGTGGTTTGTTGGTGTCTAAGAGTAGGGCATGGACAAGAGATAACCCTGGCAGAAGGTTTCTTGCTTGCCCTGACTATGATGCAAAAACTGATAAGAGGAGCTGCAAATTTTTTAAGTGGGACCCCAATGCATGGCAGACTGAAGTGATATTGGGGCTTATGCAAGAGAAGCAGGAACTAAAGAATGAAGTTATGTCTATGAGGAAGGAATTGAAGCAAGTAAACAAGTATGCTAGGAAGATTGAAAGTGATTATGTTATGCTTAAAGTAAAAAGAGCTGCTAGGATGAATTTGGGCATTAATTGTGACTTGTGGAAGGTTGTTATTGTGCTTCATGTGCTAGGAATTTGATATGCAATGAAGAACTGATCTAGTGTAGCCTAAAATAAGTCTTAGTTTGTACATGGTGTATCTACTTCCTGCTGTTTCTCTTCTTCCTAGCTAAATCCTGTAATAATTAATGCAATTAGTGTATGAATTATAATATTAATGATTGACTAAATTTTATAATTTGAATGTTTTTTATACCTGCAATGCTTGACTTGAAATGGTGTTGTTGTTTTGGCTTTGTTGTTGGCTTGCTATAGGGTATTGATCTTGACTGAATGAGTACACAGTCTTCTCTCCTTCAATATCTATGTAAAATGCCCTGTGTGGTTGCTGTTGAGTTGGCTTGGGATTGTTTGGAACCTCCTATTTAGGAAAAAAAAACCAAGTTAATTGAGAAGTAATGTAAATACATTTCAGGAATTTTAAGAATTATATTTACTTACTAATGCAACTCTCTGATAGCCATTAGGATATTCACCCCATATCCCCTCATGTGCATGGGGACAGAAGTGTTAGATGCATTTTCAGGCTCTTCTGTTGTGGATGTGTGCTGAGGTGCTTCTCTTTCTTTTTGAGCATTCTTGCATCCCCTTTTTTTATGTCCCTTTAATCCACATAAGCTGCAAGTCTAAGGGTTTCCTGTCCTCCTCAGCTTTCCAGTAGTTGTTGTCTCCCCTGCCTGATACTTCCTCTTTGTCTTTGGTCTCCCCTGAACCTTTTTCAATTTTGGCGGGATCACAATGACTTCAGTTTGTGGCCATTCTTGAGGACCATTCAAGGGCTCAAGAAGGAAAGCATATGCCTTCATGCACTTCTCTTTGGTGAAAACCTCATTCACATAGTCTTCAGGCTGGTCTGCTTTATTCCAAATAGCTACCACATCATGCTTACAAGGAATACCACTTAGTTGTCAAGCATTGCAACTGTAAGTTTTGGCCTGCAAGTTAACCACAAATTTGTCCTGTGTGGCACCCTTCCTCACCCTATAGCAGAATCCTCCATCCCAAAAATCATTCCAACCCCTTGCCCAAATCTTCACCTTTTCCAATCACTGATGAATCCTAGGCAAAACAATATACTCTTGTTGCCAATTTCATCTCTTTTTTTGTGTAGTCTCTCCATCAACCCCTCCCTTATATCCTCAAGCATTGTAATGATTGGCTTATGCCTGGAACTCAAAATGTAGGCATTGAAAACCTCACTCATGTTGTTATCCACACTATCACAACATGACATTGGTGTGTAGAAGGCTCTACACCATTTCCTGTAGTTCCTGTTCATCAAATCTTCAACAGCATCAGCATATATGACCCTCAAGTTTACAATGTTTTTCAAAAACTCATTTTCAGTGTTACTTTTAGCTATTATCTAAAATTGCTTTCTGAATTCAAGGCCCCCTCCAAAAACCCCTCTGAAATTGCAGTATACATGCATAGCACACACCCTTGTTCAGCCTCTGGGAATACACTAGATACTGCTGCTAACAACCCCTTTTGTTGGTCAGACATAAATGTGTAACCAGCCCCTGTTGTTGTCTCTAAATCATCACCAAGAAGAGACAGGAACCATGTCCAAGTGTCAGTACTCTCTACTTCAACAACATCCAAGTCAAAGGAAACATCTTGTTGTTTCCATCTCTCCCTACAGCAACAAGCAGTTGGCCCCCAAAAGGTCCTTTCAGAAAGAAGCCATCAAGGGAGATAAAGGGCCTACAACCAGCTTTAAACCCCCTTTTCAGTGCCTTAAAACACAAATAAAGTCTCTCAAACACATTACCACTCATCTGCAACTTGACAGTATTTCCTCTATTACTCCTTAAAATTTCAGCAGCATTCCTAGGAAGCAAAGAGTACTGTTCGTGGTACTCTCCAACAATCAAAGCCTGACCCTTCTTCCTTGCCTTATAAGCCATGAACTTGCTTATCCTTATTCCTTTTTCAAGCCAAATAGACTCCCTAATGTCTTATAACTTGTTGTAAGGGTTAACTCTAAACCAATTTGCATAATTACTAGAAATCCATGTAGAGCTCATCAATGTAGCTTTTGCTACCCTGCCACAGTTATGCTTAAGCCGTCACAATTCTTTTATGACTCCCATGAAGTCCATATTTTCCAAGGGCACCCTTTGTCATGCTGCCTACACTTAGCTCCTACCCTTTTAGGATTATTTCTATAGAACTTTATGTCCCTGCCACTCCCAACACAATAATCAGTCAAAGCTTTCCTAAACATCACAATATTCTCAAATGGTTGACCTAAATAAAAATCAGTTTTTGTGCTCTCACTAGGCCTATGTACTTTGCCTTTTTCCCTTGTATAAGTGCAATGAGGTACCCAAGATCATCTTCATCATCATCTTCACTAGGACTATCTTCATCACTAACAACTTCCCAATCATCCTCAAACATATTCACTCATTTTCTCTTAGATTCAGCAACCCTTTTCAGCATACCTAACTCATTCTCATAGTCCAATTCATTTTTCTTTTCCTGAGTCAGTTTGTCCCTAACACTAACAAACTCCACATCATCTTCATCAGTCCCCTCACCTCATAATCATATTCAGCATCTCTATTAATCCTAGGTTCATAACAACCAACACCATCACCATTCAACAAAGACATGAAAGACCCTTGACCAGACCCTAGACCACACCCTACACCAGCCCCTTGCCCAATATTTCCTACATTAAAGTTTGAAACCATGCCCAATTCATGTCCTGAATACACATGAAGCACTCTGCACTCAAGCAACAAAGACAGAAAATGGGTCAAAGGTGCAACTGTCAAAAGCTAGAAACCTCATACCATCTTTCACGGTTTTCCTAAGATCCAAGAAGTGAAGCTTTACAGTGTCAGTGTAACCTAAAGTGTCTATCAACTGTGTCAGGGATATCATCAAGCACATTGACCCTACCACCCCTGTAGTACATTTCTTCTTCTTCCACCCAAATTCCACCATGGTGTACAACTAAACATGGCTTTAAAACATCCATATTGTCTGCCAATGTGTACAAATTTTAACTTATTATTAAAGGCATGATGAATATAAGCATAACATTACAATTATATAACAACAAAAGCATAATAAGAACATGCACTAATGAGATATATAACATAAGTGGCTTCATTCATATATTCATATATATATATATATATATATATATATATATATATATATATATATATATATATATATATATGATCCATTACAAAATGGTTGTACAAGCCAAGCCAACTCTTAACTTTTAACCAATGTCATTGTAATACCTCGTATTTTTATACGCATTTTAATTAAAATAAGTATTTTGATAAGTATTTAATTAAATTGAATTGTTTTATTAGAGTATTTAAATTATTTATTTTAAATAAGTTTGTAAATAATTAAAAAAGGAAACCTTATTTAATTAATTAATTTAACTAAGTTGGGGTTTAATTTAAGGAAAGTTTTAATTTAGTACAATTTTATTAGGGATGAGATTAGGAAAATTAAAAGAGGAAAGTTAGGGAAAAAGGGTTTGTAGAGAAGGGGTATAAATATCCCACTTATGAGGCAAATCAACTTTTCCCCGAGTGGAGAAAACCCAAGGTAAACTTCTCTCTCCTTTCTTCTTATTTTCTTTCTTTTTCTTTCTCCTTTTCCCCCTTCCCCTTCCCCTTCCCCTTTTCTTTTTTTTTTTCGGCTGCCCCCTTCACCACCACCGCCGACCACCGACAGCAGGTGGCCGCCTGCCGCCAGCAGCGTTAGCAACAGGCAGCCACCAGCACTAGCAGCCGGCGTGGTGGCTGCCGCTGCTTTCTCTTTCCCCCTTTTTCGAACATATTAAATAAAAATTAAATCTTTAATGTTGAAAACTAATCTATGCTTAAATCTAATTGTTAATTATGAGTTTTGGGATTTGATTTTGATGTTTGATAATAAGTATTATGTTAATTAATTTTCAGATTATGTTTTAACTTAAAAAGCCCCAATTTTTAAAACCCTAGGTTCTTGATTTGTAAATTATTGAAGGGTTATGATGTATAATGGTTTAAACCTTTGATTAAAGTGTTTTAAGGCTTAATTACAGCAAATTTTAATTAAAATATAGCGCTGGAATTTTTAGTAGAACATTTAAAATCAAGCTTCCTTAAGGAATTTTAATTACCCATAAATTGGAATTAACGTATGATGTTTTAAATATAATTTCAGCTTATTTTAATTAAATTATGAAGGGTTTTATAATAGTATATATTGTTGGAAATTTGTGTAAAGTGGATTTTAATACTCTTCTATAATTTTAAATTGTAGGAGACTTTGAAGTGAGTGATTTTTATTAGTTGTGGTGATTCTAAGATCGTATACAAGGTACGTACGTTCGCGTACTTAGCATAATTATGTTAATATAATAGCATGCTAAATGTGTTTGATTGATTACAAGTAGTATCATGCTAGATTTGGATTGGAAATTGTGATTTGGATGTTATTGGTGATTGGATTATGAAGCATGATTTATTTGATTATTGAATGAAAATTGATAGTTTGGAATATTATTTATGAACCACATATTTATTTATGGCATGTTAGAGAGCATGTTTAATTAAACTAAATGTTTAATTTGATTTGGAATATTAAAAAGGGATTTTATCATGGTTCATATAATTTTTATTGATGCTATAAGCATGAGGAAAGAGCTATGTAAGTGTCTATGTACACGAGGAATAAATTGTATGTTGGTGCCTTAATGCACTTAAGGTGTTTTTAACACCGAGGGATAGGATTTGTGGCGCTTTATGCATTTAAGGTGTCATCGGCACCGAGGTAGAATTAAAAAGGATTCAACATTAAATATTATGTGGCCACTAATTATTCAAGAATTAAATTGGTATATTTGATTGTTTGAATAATTATTGTTGATTGAATGATTATGGTTTGAGAGTCACCACCAAGTTTAATAATTTGTAAATAACGTAAAGTGAAAGAGATTACGCCCAAAACTCTTGGAACGTATACACCTTGAGTATGAACATATGAGGGGATCGAGTTATGTGACTTCATATTTGATCATAACTTCTACTGGAGTACAGGATGCTGTACATTCCTTTTATTATTATTATTATGTACAGGAATTCCGCCACTTACGAGTGGTTATTAATGTTGGCACGGTTAGCTCCCGTGTCAGTAACCTCAAATTTATTTGGGGAAGGTTGAGTGGGAAACCCGTTCGATGCGTAATCAACATTAAATAAATTATGTAGTGTCTAATGAGAACTTTTATTGAATGTTGTATGCTTAAAAAACATATGCAACAAGGTAAGTTGTGTGTTGATAGGAAATCGTATGTTAGTGTGTTAATACGCTTATGTACTCAGCTTTGCTGATTGTATGTTTTGTGTGTTTGTTGGCCTTGGCTTTATCTTGGCCCTATGATGACCCATTTTTAATGGAGAGCAGTGGAAACAAGTAGAGATAAGGTTTTCAGGTTTTGAATCATATTCATGAATGAGCATGAGTGAAGAGCGAATCATGCTAGTTTCTATAAGTATATGATTGTGTTATTGCTTTATTTATTTATGACTTTATTTATTATATGTGACTAACGAAAAGGGGTTTTGAAGTTTGGTTTTGTTTTAATAAGGGCCTACAATGTTTCCAAGTTGTAGGTTGACTTTATTTTACTTCGTTTGACTTTACTTTCGTTGTTTGATTTTCAATGTTGACTTGGTTTGAAATGTTTTGAAATTAGTCTTTTGTTGTGTGTCTTTGATAGTTGCCTTAACCGTTATCACGGTGGCAGTAATGTCTTAGATATTCCTATTTAAAGGTTTTAAACAGGGCAAAACAGGTATTTTAAAAGGAAGGAATTTCTAGGGTGTTACAGTCATGGTAGTGACAAATCCCAAAAGATGATGCATGATTTGTCACCAACACAAAAAACTTCCCTACCATGACATTGAATTTCTACCATGAACATCTTGAACTAAACTAAAAAACAGAAAAAGCTTAACACTAGCAGCTCATAACACCAAAAACCTTCAAGCTGCACATAGCCCTCCTCCCAACCTAACACAACAACCTACTGCTCCTCCTTGAACAATAGAGGGAACCCATCAAAGTTGGCTCTCATGTCATTGTTCAGCCAAGCATTTAAGTCCCGGCCGTCGTTGAAGATCAGGTCTTTTAGAACCCACTCGTTCACAGAGGCCCTAGGTCCCGTAAAGGGTTGGAGGTTTTCCAGGTGGCGAGTCATCCACCACAGACGCCATTTCTTGCAGACCTGCTTAACAGTATCCTGACTAAGCTAATCTAGCTTGGGGAAGACATGGAGGGCAAGGAGGTCGGGGTTGCTGAAAATTGGGTGAGCTTCAGAAAGAGCGTCCATACCTAAGTCAAGCATGTAGTTAGATAAGGTTTGTTTCACTTACAAAAACTACTCTGTTTCACTAACAACAAAACCCTAGAAAATTTCCAGAAATTCAACCCAAATATACCCATTTTTCAAAATCAGACAAAATAAAATTACCAGATGATGACAACAAACAACATCCAAAATCATAAAAAGCAAAATTCACCCAAAAAAACAAAATAAACCCACAATTCTGTACAAAAAACCCCCATTAATGCCGAAATAAAGCAGATGAAGACAAAAAAAAAAAAAGAATATACCTTCAAATGATTGCAGCTGCTGTAATTTAGCTTCCTTAGATGATGTTTCTTCACCGAATTCCCACATTAATGGCGTTGAGCTAGAAGGGGAAGGAAGATTTTTTTGAGTGAAAGGGAGAGCTCTGTTTTTTCCCTATAAAAAGAAATGACGAGGGAAGCCAATGGGGTGAAGGGAAAATAAAAGGCATTCACCTTTCTAATTCTCGCGCCAACGTTAGAAAGGTAATGATGGTTTTTTCGTTTCCCAAAATACACGTCACGCTTTTTTTTCCCCTTTTTTTTAAAACCAAAAAATAAAAGTAACCGGTTTTAACAAGCTGCAACCGGATTCTTTACCTCCTGTAACAGATTCAGTACCTTTTGTGCAACTTCTTAAACGTTAGTACCTTATGCAACTTTTGGCAGTCGTTAGTACCTCCAATTTGTATTTACTCTTCAAACATGTCCTTAATTAGTATACTTTATAGATCATTAAATTCATCAAGCCGCCGAAGAAGGTGGTATTCGGCATGGTGCTTGTTGTAGTGTTAGAGTTCATTCGCCACTGGTAATGAGAAAGGAGTAAGGAAGAAGGCATGTTGAAGAAGACGGGAGAGAGAAGGTAAGTCAGCATGTAAAAAGAGTAAAACATTAAAACATTTCGCAAGTTGCTCATAAGATCCAAAATTTCATTTCACCGCGGATTTTGTTACTCGATTTGAGTAACTGTGGCTTGCCCATAAATCAAAAGATAAAATATTGATGTTAGAGTTAAGATGATTATTTGAAGTACTAATTTTTACATGGAAAGATCTCTAATTTGTGTTTTTTTTTTTTTTTTTTTTGGGGGGGGGGGGTCTTTTTAAAGTGATCCATAATTATTTATAGGCAATATGCTGGACGAGTTGATTTGTCGTGTATGGTAAAGGAGAACAAGAGAGAGAAATGGCGTAGACCATCATAGTGTACAAGTCTAATACAACAATTGTTATGTCGTTATAGGCTAAAAATTGCAGCTTGCAGCTGGGAACAAGCAAATTCAATCAAGTGTAAAATACATAGTAGTATAGTAAATGGCCTAATGCTAAACTCATCATCTTTTATACAAGTATCTTGTATACTACAAAAAGATTGAGCTAAGTTGCATAAGATTTGATTGAACAAAGTTGCCAAAAACCTCTCAAGTATTTTTATGCTTCCTACATACTCGAGTGATGATCTAACTCTACCGAAGAAATCACCTGTATTTTTCCTAGTTAACCTAATTGTTTGCAGTAAATTTTTTCTGATAAAATTTGTTCAGGTTCCCATGTCACTGTCAAGAATTGTGTCAATCTTATGGAGATATTGAAGCTCAAGGAGATAAACTGAGATCTACCAATAATGTTTTCAGGACATCACCAATAATCTCCACAAGAACAGATGCCACCTTTAATATGATGGAAGCGATTTTTATCCCTTAAAGAGACTGTTCTTCCATAGAGCTTTGAGATGATTTTGGCAAAATTGTGGCAATCAACACAGATTCTGAGGTTCTTTATAACTCTAAGTGGGGTTCCTTCAGAAGTACTTAGAAGCCCAAAGGCTAAAGCCAGCTTTTCACTATGCCCCAGAAGTATCTTCTCCTTTTGCTCATCTTCAACATCATGTAAAACACAACTAAGATCAGGTTCATAACCAGCTTCCTTTAATCGAACTGCCAATTCCTTTACTTTCATGTGAAACTCATCTTTCCTAGGATGGGACCGATCACTAGCATGGAAAGTGTGAAGAGTTTGATCAAGCTCAATCCAGCTCCTTCCTGGCTCCTTACTCACAGCCTTTTCTTTCATCAATTCCCTCAGATTTCTTACCTCTTCCCATCTGCCTGCAGAGGCATATAGATTAGATAAAATGACATAATTTCCAGCATTTTCAGGCTCTATTTCTAGAAGTTGACGACCCACATATTCTCCAACATCTAAATTCGAGTGAACCTTGCATGCACCTAATAGAGATCCCCAAATGGCAGCTGTTGGTTTAAAAGGCATCTCATCAATGAACTTCAAAGCCTGTTCTAATCGCCCAGAACGACCAAGTAAATCAACAACACAGCCATAATGCTCTATATTTGGCTCTAGCCCATCTTTCTGTACTACCATCTCATCAAAAATTTCTAGTCCAGTGTCTTCCATTCCACCATGGCTGCAACCAGATAAAACGGCCAAGAAAGTTACTCTGTCAGGTTTGACTTTGCCTTCTGCTCTCATCATTGTGAAAAGTTCAATCACCTTTGACCCCATCCCATGTTTACAATATCCCACAAGCATTGCATTCCATGAGATGACACTTCTTTCAGGCATGCTATCAAAAACCCTTCTCGCATAAACGAGGTTCCCACATTTAGCATACATATCAATTATCGAATTCTGTAGAACCACATAAGATGGAAGCTGATGTCTCAAAATATGATTATGGACTTGTTTGCCTTGATCTAGAGCAGCAAGTCCAGATAATGCAGTTAGGAGACTAGCATAAGTAACATAATTTGAACACATCCCTTCCTTCAGTAGCTTGCGAAACAATTCAACCGCCTCTTCATCAAAACCTAATTGGGCATACCCTGCAATCATCGCAGTACAGGAGACAACATCCCTCTGAATTAAACTATCAAATACTGTTCGAGCCTCATGGATTCTTCCGGCCTTGGCATACATATCAAGAAGTGAGCTCCCAACAAATATGTGAGAATCATAATTATACCTTACTATAAGAGAGTGGATCTGTCTTCCATAATCCAACCCATAGTCACCTGTACAAGAAGGGAGAACAGTGGCGAAAGTGAACTCATTGGGTTCTGTGCCTGCAAAAAATTTCTAATCTTATCAGCTCTCAGAAAAGCAAATAAGATTAATAAAGAAAACCATTCAAAAAATTTGAAAGCCGCCATTTCATGCATTGCAAAATTTAATATAGCTTTCATGATTGATGACTAGTAGCATATTCAAGTTTTTTTTTTACCAAAATGTAAAACTAAACAAAAAAAACAGGAACAAAATTATCATAAATCAAACTTGTCATGCTTCAAAAAAATATCCATTCAGGATAAAAGGAATTCTATGAATGCTTAAATACCTTCGTCACTAAGCATCCATCTAGTTGACGGTAGTTGTTCAAAAGCTTCCTTGAACATCAGTAAAGTACAAGTATTAACATTAACCAAACAATGAGGTCTTAAACTGTATCTTAAAGTGAAAGCGATAATGAGCCAAAAACTTCAATTCAATTCAGGTCAGTTCAGTACTTCAGTTCAATCCAGTCCAAAAGAACGAGGCCTTAGTGAAGCAACTACATCTTTACTAAGAGGAAGACAACCAGCATCTTGCTCCGACCGATTAAGTTCCAATTCAAACTCCCTAAACTATGTAATGCAACATTCCAATATGTATAAAAAACATATTTTGATTATTTACATGAATTACATCTGTTGTCTTACTCAAAAATCAACATGTAATGCAAACTTTAAAACAAAAAGAATACCTGATCTCAACATCTGTACAAAAAGATTCAAAGCCTCAGAAGAAAACCCTTTTTGTGAATACCCCGAAATCATAGCAGTCCAAGAAACCACATTTCGTTCAGGCATTTCATCGAACACATAGCGTGCATCAACCAAACAATCACATTTACAGTAGAAGATAACAAGCCTAGTTCTGAGGTACAATGGTGGAAGATATTGAGTTTTGATCATGTGGGTATGTACTCTTTGACCTTCTCTAAGAGATTTTCTGTTGACACATTCATTTAAGATGGTATCATACCCTTCAAACTTCATTTCCAGACCTTGAACCGCCATTTCTAGCAGAGCTTCCTGTAATTGACCGTTGGAGCATAGTGCTCTTAGTTTTGATTGGAATGGCGGGAATGTTGTATGATATAGTTGGCGTGTGAATGGCGTTTTGGAGGAGAGAGAAAGTATGTGTTCAGCAATTATAGCTGTTTGCCTCAATCTTATTAGCATTTGAGATTCTCAGAAAAGTCAGAACATCAATGATTTACATATATTAATGTATGCAATATTGCTATTAGTGGTGTCAAAAGCACACTCGACCTGACCCGTATCCGATTCAAATTTGAACTCGCGTGGACATAACAATTAAATATGATTTAACTTTAAAAATTGACCCGACCTGACCATATCAGACCCGATCTGATCATTCGAATTGACCCCCCTAATTGCAATGTATTACCCGTCCATTATTAATTTAGGGATGAGATGACATTATCATGGAATATAATGACGTATTTTGTTTGCCTAGTAACCCTCAAACTCATCATTTAATTATCTTTATTTATTACTAGCTATCAAATGGGCCGTTAAATCATTTATAAATTCTCATAATATTCCTGAATTATTATAGTCAATCTCAAAGCAAATTACATACAAAGTATATCTTCATGACTTCATGTCTTCAAGTCTTGGCAATTTACTTTAGAGATTGTTAACATATTCATCCAATCCAAAGGTATTCATTTTAGACAAAGCAACAATAATGTTTTGTAGTAAAACAGAAATAGCTATAATAGAGAATATGGCGGTCAGTAGGGTAGACAAAAATAAATGACGATAATGATAATGATAATGAGCTCGAGTGTAAGTTTACAAAGAAATTTCTCATACTTGTGTTCATGATGATGTAAGTCTACCAAGAATTCTTAAAAAACATTGATGCTACTAACTTACTAAGATACAGAGTATAACAAGATATGCATTATAAATCGGCTCACGCAATCAAGATAAACCCTCCTTATCTGTAATCATCACTTCATCTGTTAACAGGGTTTGTGCTTTGTACAAATTTTCTTCACTTTTTTCCTCAACTTTCAGAATTTAAAGAATAGCATCTTGTGATGAATTCTTTTTGTAGAGACTAGACTGAAAATTGACAAAGGAGATGTTATTGACAGTAGATGGTCTGAAATCCAAGGGATTATCCCATCCCACTGATTTCTCTTTCGACCATCTCATGTTCATATTTCTAACTTCGAAACCATCTATAAATTCCATGATGATTCCTGCCATATTATGTTTAACAAGCCCTGAGCATCCAGGCCTGTAATCTACCAACCCACCATCATAACTCGTCCATCTTCTGTAAGTGAGATCGACATTGCTGAACTTCAAGTCCCTTATTATCCCACCTTTAGTACCTGATAAAAACACTCCATTTTCAGAAACTGATGTTATGTTGATGAACTGAATGTCAGAGATTGACCCTTCTTTTGTGTTTGAGTCTCGTGGACATGTTGTTATGTAAATTGGCTCCGCTCTTCCCCACCATGATGGATCGTAGTACCTCGTGCTGATGTTTATGTTGGAGAAGGTAATGTCTTTGACATTCCCTACAAAAATGCACACTCCCATCAGTCCCATGACCAATTAAGTCACACTCAAAACTTTCTAATATTAAAGAAGTTAAACAGTTAGCAAGGGGCCAGAGTTTCATAAGGTACCTCCATCGCGAATTTGAAGTCCAAGTCCTCTATGAGACTCAAAGATGGTTATGTTGTCGAACAATAAATGCACAAAATCAAATGAACTAGCACTACCGAGCTTGATAGCTGAGGATTTCGTTCTGATCCAACAATCAGTAGCAGTTAAGTTATAAAGAGGCTTGTTGTACGTCTTTGGGCATATAGCATCATCGCCTGTGTCTATATGGCATCTGGTGATGTATGTGTTATTAGAATCTTGTACGTCAATCCCATCATTGTTTGGCGAATTGAAGTTCCCATAGATGGAAATGTCATGAATGGAAGTATTCTCACAATCTACTACGTGCAAGCTGAAATTCACAATCCTCATTACATTTTGACTGATAGGTGTATATTAAAGTATCAAGAAACTATCAAAGCATGTAAATTTGCAATAAAATGTTTTACGACTAATGTAATTCAAACTAGTAATGTACTGTAACAACCAAATTTGGACGGTTTGAAATCAACTGTACTCAAACAGAAAACAAAGAATGTTGACAAACTAGTATTGTACAATGCAAGGAATACTTTCACAAAAGGAAGATTTCCTAAGCATTCTTCAAACACTCTCATTTGTAAAAATACAAATTGAAATCTTTACTTCTGTTTGCTAGTAATATGTTCTTTTCACTTGATATTTACTCATTCGAGCCTATGCCTATCTCAACTTATCGTAGTTGTAATAATTGATTGAGCTCGATTATATCTAATATATACTCCCTCTGTCCCCAATTATTTGCCCAAACCATAAATCTACTTTATTAAGGCTTTGGGCAAAAATTGGTGCACATGGGTTGGCACAAATATCAATGAGGAGAGAGATAGAGAGAGTGCAAGTGGGAAAACATGCCAAAAGTAGTATGGAGCAATCTTTTGGAGACACCTTAAAAAGGAAAGTGGAGCAAACAATTAGAGATAGAGGGAGTACTACCTCCGTTTCTTTTTAGTTGACACGTATTCCTTTTTAGGAAGTTCTTTTAGTTAACACGTTTCTTTTTGGGTAACTTTTTTACATTGCATTTACAAATTACCCCATTTGTTTTTTCATTCTCTCTCACATCTCCTTAATATATGTTTCTAAATCAAACGCGTCAACAAAATAAAAACGGAGGAAGTATATGAACTCATCAGCGGTGAACTACTAAAAAACAAACTTTTCTTAAATGTGAAATTGTAAAAATATCTAGGATATAGGGCCCTAATATGTTCTACTCCGTACTACTTACTTGAATTTTCTCACATTCACTTGAAAACAAACATAAAATAAGGTCGACAAAATAAGTTGAATAGAAACAGACAATAGTTAACGCTTAGCACGAGCGAGGAGAGAGAAAGTAAAGACGTACCACCAATAGGCAGGCTCATTGAGCTTAACATTAGAGACAGTAACATTTGTACACCCAATAAACCCAACTAACCGTGGTCTACACTCATCCCCTAAACACGCACCCGTGTGATTCCAACTAACCATGACATTCTTCCTCTCATCAAATCTCTTGACAAACTCCAATCCTTGACCGTTGATTTCCCCACCACCTCTGATCCCCACATTAACCACGTGTTCCGCCAACACAACATACCATCTCTCAAACTCATTAGGATAATCTTCCAACTTCGTTCCCCCTAAAATTACCGCACCTTTTTCAACGATCAAAACGACGCCGGATCTGAGGTGAATTGTTTTTGTTAGGTAGGTCCCAGGTGATGGGAATACCACGTGGCAGGGACTTGGGGAGGGACACGCGTTGATTGCTGATTGGATTGGGGTTGTGTCGTATTGACGGCCGTTTCCGACGGCTCCGAAGTCTGTCACGGAGATGATTGGTGGCTTGGAAGGGAGTTGAAGGGATGATGACGTGGTGGGGTGTGATTGGGTGGGGGAGATGCTGAGTAGGAGAGAGAAAAGGAGAAGGATTAAGGTGGAAATGGATGAGAGCATCTTGGATTTAAGATTATCTGCTGGCCTACTAGGTACCAATTCGTTTCATTATAAATAAAACATTGCATTTTTCCAACTTGGGTCATGAATAGTATTAACTGGATCTTTGGTAAGAGAAATATATTAGTGGTACTGTGGTAGTCAACTAGTCATAGTAGCAAAGTTCGAAATATATTTGGAATTTGGTTTGTAGATGTCATTTTTTAGCTCTTTGTTGTCATAGGATGGGGTGTTGGGTCTGGCAACAAAACTGATGTGGGTTGGATGGTCTGGAGTGGGCTGATGGGTTTGGTGATGGTTTGGCTGGGAAGGTGATACACATAGACTTAGTCTATGTATTTCCCCACATAGACAATCATTAATATGATGACAGCACATCATTCATGAAAAAAGTAGAGCGGGAGTTTAATGCGGTAAAATTTGATAGTAAAGCCCGCCTTTGTAATGGAAAGAGAGGGAAATTTAGCGCTCAATGTGGCACTAAAAATTCATGTAAATAATTATTGCTTAGCAAACCATTAATGAAAATTTAAGGTGAAAATATTTTCAAAGCACTTAGATTTGAAGGTAGGCAATAGTCATCTTCGTTTTACACTACACATTGACTTAGTTGACAAACTAAGGTTTTAATTTACAATTAAATGTTGTTCATGGTGATTGCAAAATGAATTGAATGTGTCGTTGTTGAGGATAATGATTTACAGGGTGTCGATTGACGATGATGGGTTACAAATTTGGATTAATATAATTTAGCTTATCAATTTGTGTAATTTTAAAAAGTGTTATATTTATTTTAGTCGCACATGAAATATTTTAGTATCAATTTGGTTAATGTTGGTATTATTGTATTTAAATTAGTGATGTTAAGTGTTTTGTGTTAAGTACAAAGTATTTATATCTAATGGAAAACATGGAAAACAATTTAAAGAGAATCACTGATCTTAGTGACTTAATGAGGGTATTATGGACTATGGAGTATGATGAGGTTGGTGCTCGTATGAGAAACGCTCCACAAATGGGAATGACTTTATTATCAAGACAAGGAGGATTTTAATTTTAGGAATTGTAGTGTCGAGCCGAATATGATGGTGATGGCCGTGATAGAAGATTAAAAGGATTGTTGAAGGTTGATAATGGACGACGAGGTTGGGTTTTTGGTGTAGATAGGTAGTTTTCTGGCGTGGGTAGGGGTTTTTTGGGGTCGAGGTTGGGATTTCGAGGTGTTATTATAATGTTTTCCGGCGCGTCAAACAACAGAGGAGGCGAGAGGAAGAAAGGTCAGCAAGGAAGGTCTGGTGCCGGTTGTTTTCAGAGGTAAGGGGAGATGATCAACGAGCTTGGGGTTGGGCTGGGTCTGGGCTTCTCAGTGGCGAAAAGGGATGGGTGGTGGCTAGGATGTTTTTTTAGGTTTTTTTCCCTTTTATTTTTTCCTTTTTTTTTTAGACTAATCATGTGCTGACACGTGGATTGGTTACTTGCTACAACAAGTATTGCTCTATGGGAACGAATGTTGGGGTTCCAAGAAAAAGCACATTAAAAAAGATGGAGATTACGAAAATGCGCATGTTAAGGTGGATCACACGTGCGGGAACACTCTAAGGAATAGAATAAAAAATGAGGTTATTCACAATGCAAGGAATTAAAGTAGGTGTGGCAAGCATTGTAGGGGAAATCGTTTGTGTTGCTTTAGGCATGTAAACCATAAATCTGAGGGTGCACCGGTACGAAGAGTGGAAGACAGGGACCGTGGAGATGTGGAGGGATTAAACAAGGGAGACCGAAAATGACTTGGTTGAAATGAGTTAAGAATGATATGAAATATATGGATTTGCACGAGGATGGCACATTGGATTGTAAAGGATGGAGGAGAAAGATTTTTGTCGATGATTACACGAAATACATAGTGTAGGGAATATTTCAAGCATTATCCCTATCTTGAACCCCACTGTGATCATACACTAAAGTATGGTGGCGCCCAAAGGGAAAGAAGATAGAGCAAAAGAGTCGCCAACAAGTTTTAGGAACTTGTAAACCGTTCACAGGGTGAAGGTTACACCCCTTAACGATCCAAGAGATCGTCAACTCCATAAGGTCTTGAACCAAATAGGGTTCGGGGATGAAGATACAAATCCAACCTAAAAGAGATTGAACCTGCCCTAATAATAGGCCTCTACTTTATTCTGATCGTATTCATGTGCGCTTTCTGACTAACATGCAATCAATAGGTTTACCCTAAACCTGTTTATCTATGTTGGTTGAATATTAATGCACAAATAAACTACTATTGGCGATCACTTGAATTATAATCATATTAACCCTAATTTAACAAGATTATTAATTATCTTATTAAGTGTGATTACAAGTACCAATTCCCTTTAAACATGCATAAAAGGCATGATCAAGCAATAAAAATAAATATCAAGCAACATAATTAACATAAATAATAATAATTATCATAGACATAATAATAATAATAATAATAATATTCATAATAATATTCATAATAATAATATTCATAATAATATTCATAATAATAATATTCATAATAATAATAATATTCATAATAATATTCATAATAATAATATTCATAATAATAATATTCATAATAATAATAATATTCATAATAATAATAATAATAATAATATTCATAATAATAATTATTTATTTTTTATAATAATAATAATAATAATAATATTCATAATAATATTCATAATAATAATAATAATAATATTCATAATAATATTCATAATAATAATAATAATAATAATATTCATAATAATAATAATAATATTCATAATTATGTTAAAAATAAAGCATAATAATAGCAAGATCCTAGGCATGATACTAACAAGATTAATAACAAATCCTAACATGTCACTAAACAATAAAAATCAAAGTTTTAGCCCTAACATGATACTAACATGAATATTAGGAAAGAATATAAGAAGTATCATAGAAATCACAATTGTCATATTTGATAATAGAAATTATAGTTATTACCTTAAACATGATACTAGGAAGATCAAAACATCCTAACATGACACTAGGAATCATAATAACAACCTAAGCATGATTTCTATATCATAATATCAATAAATCAATTAAAAGCACATACTTGAATGCCTCGTACCTCTTTCTAATAATAAAATACACATGTTAGTAACTTCAAGGAAAATAATAAACAAAACAATTAAATTAAATAATTAAAATAGAGATTTGGGACCAAACCCTCAGAAATTAAAACCTTTCACGTCTAGGGCGAAGACAACTTCAAATTATGCTAGGTGTGTCTAGTGCTAATGTATGAGGAATTGTGTTTGTAAAAAGCTAGGCTAGAAAGAGAGAGAGAGAGAATCAAGAATTCCTTGATGAGAGTTGGTGAGAATTAGAAAGAATAAGAATTGATGAGAATTGATTAGAATTGGTTGTAGATGATTTACAACAGAGTTTTTAGGAGACTATTTATAGAGAAAATCAGCCAAAAAGATAGAAAATCGAACCAGAGTTCTAGCGCCAAAAAACGAGGTTAGCGCCAGACGCTAACATTAGCGCCAGGAGCTAACGCTAGCGCTAGGCGCTAATGTCTGGCGTTAGGCGCTAACAATAATTTTGACGCGTTTTCTAAAATCAGATAAAATTAACCGTACAGGAAGATAAAATCGTATTTTCCTTAAAAACACTCTTTTATTCCGATCAAAACTCTAAAAAGTAAACAAAAGTCAATTTATCAATGCTAATTGAATTAGGAATGAAAAGAACCTTCTAGAAGAATCTAGGAGATTAAAACCATTCCTAATTGCATTAGGAATGATAAATCCATATTAGGCCCTCCTGTAGATCATTGGCCCGCATGTAAGGCTCAAACCGAGCCTAGTTTAGTAATTTATTCATAACTTCCTCATTATTCATCGGAATTGGGCTTATAATATATCGTTAGAAAACTCTTTTCAAACCCCATCCAACTACACTACCATTGGACCCATATCATGGACCAACCAAACTGGATTGACTGTTTTCTTAAAATAGGTTTTCAAAAACAGAGAGAAAAGAAATATTTTCAAAAACAGAAAGAAGAGATATTTTAATAAAAACATCACTAGTAGAAAAAACGCATTTGGCACCGGTTCAAACCCGGCCTAAGGCACCGGTTTGAACCCGTGCCTATGTGGGGGGTGCCAAATACCCCCCTATTTGGCACCGGTCCAAAACCGGTGCCATAAACAGGTTTTGGCACCGGTTAACCGGTGCCAAAAATACTAAAAAAAAATATTTATCCTCCTTTTGGCACCGGTTAACCGGTGCCAAAAATGTCCATTTTTTTTTTTTTGGTTTTTTTTCACTTACCAATAAAATCAACTGAAAAAAAAAAATAACAATTCACAACAAAAATTGAATTGGTTTCAATATATATAATCCAAAATTTACAATACATAATGAAATCCAAAATTACAATATAGATCAATTACAACTAACATTATAAATAAATAAAAAAAATTACATTATAAATCATAAAAAAAATTACAACATGAACATATCAATATTCTTGCATAACCTGTACACACTAATTAAAACAGAAAAAAAAAATCAATTGGTAAAAATAAGCTTAAGAATATATAAAAATTATCAAAAACGAAAAAAAACCTAAATTATCAAAATATAAAACAAAAATTGAAATCGAAATATAAAAAATTATCAAAAACGAAAAAAAAAAACCAAAATTATCAAAATATAAAATATAAAACAGAAATTGAAATTGAAATATAAAAAATTATCAAAAACGAAAAAAAAAAACCAAAATTAAAATCGAAAAAAGAAACCAAAAATTCGAAAAAAAAAAAACAAAATCGGAAAAAAAAAAACAAATACGAAAAAAAAATAGGAAAAAAAAAACAAAATCCAAAGTAAAAGGAAAATTAAAATCGAAACCCTAAAAACGAAATCCAAAATAAAAACCAAAATCGAAAACCAAAATCAAAATCAAAAACCAAAAAAAAAAACCAAAATTGAAATCGAAAAAAAGAAACCAAAAATTCGAAAAAAACAAAATCAAAATCGGAAAAAAAAAAACAAATACGAAAAACAAATAGGAAAAAAAACCAAAATCCAAAATAAAAGGAAAATTAAAATCGAAACCCTAAAAACGAAATCCAAAATAAAAACCAAAATCGAAAATCAAAATCAAAAACCAAAACCAAAATCAAAAACCAAAATTGGTGAATCGAAAACAAAACCAAAATTGGTGAATCGAAAACAAAAACAATTAAAATCGAAAAAAAAAGCCAGAACTTGAAAAAAAATCCCAGAAATTGTTGTTGATGTTGATGCCGGTGGTGGTGGTCGAACATTGTGGTGGTGGCGGCGGCTGTTGTTGCGCTAATGAGAGGAGATCGGCTGTCCTCGAGCTTTGGTTGCTGCATATATATGAGAGGAGATCGAAGGGAGTTGAAAGACTAATTAAAGAAGAACGAATAGAGAGAGGAAATCGAAGGAGATGAAAGAAGAACGAAGAGAGAGAGAGGAAAGAGAAGGAGTAGAGAGAAGTAGAGGAGATGAAATGGGGGAATGGAGGCGGAGAGAAGGAGGAGAGATAAGGAGATCGAAGCTTATAAGGGTTTTAGGGTTTAAATTTTCCGGTTTTTCCTAAAAACCTTGGACCGGTTCAGTGGCACCGGTTCAAACCGGTGCCCTTTGTATTTTTGGCACCGGTTTGGTCTGAACCGGTGCCTTTTCCCTTTGTTTAAAATCCCGCCCAATTTTGGGCCGGTTTTTGGCACCGGTTTGGGCTGAACCGGTGCCATATGGGGGGTGCCAAATGCAATTTTTCTACTAGTGCATTCTCATCACTAGACTTTTCACACTTTCGCTTCGTTCGATAATCAAATGATATGAAAGGTATTCATCACTGGGTTTGGTTTTGGGGAGACACATTTGGGTGTCTACACATAGCCTCTTTCTAGCATTTATTAATCACATAATAAAAAGAAAGAGGCTTCTAATTTAGGGACGAAGGGAGTACATAATAAATCGAAATTGTTCGATGGTAACCAAAAATAATAATAAAAATTTACAACATATTAGTTGATTGGACTAAGTTTATTATAAGTTATTAAATTCAATAAATCCTATCTGAATTTATTAGACCTAAAACTTATTTAATAAAGGTGAACAAAACGTAACGTAAATTGGTAAATTACTTTAATAAATCACAGTAGTCCAATAATCAATTCTATGTAATTATTGCCTCGATTTTCATGCTCAAAATCTTTTCAATGTGTGCCAAGAAAATTGCTTGGATTTTTGGGGTCATTTTAGGTCTTAAGATTCTAAGTTAGAGAAATAACTAGCTTAAATCCATGCAATGCATAGTTTTATTACCAAAGTTTATACTCCGTCCATTTTTAAGCGGTATCCCTATATAATTTATCTTTCATTTGCTAATATAATTTGATAAGAACTTACTTTTTCACATCTAATCAGATGTAATTGTCTGGTTTGACCGAACATTGACCTTATATGTACACTAATCTAGATAATTTCATTATCTTTAATATAGTGAGATTTAAGTGGGGGTATAAGTATTACACTTTGACCGGAACATACATTTAGATAAATTAATTGAATTGAATTTAATATAAAAATATGTAAGTAGAATATAGTGTATTAAATAATTACTTGCTCCGTTCTTTTTTACTTGATCCGCTTTGACTTTTGCACTATTCACCACCCCTCCTTTGACTGTCTTTTATGAATGATATGTAACGAAAAACATATTTATGTGGGATCTTTTTGAATTCGTCTCAACAAGTACTATCATAATATATAACTTTTATAATTTTTACTTATGGAGAATTAAAGTTATTGATCGTTAAAGTTTTGCATCGACAAGTGTGATAAAAGAAACAGGTTAAGTAAAAAAGAACAGAGGAAGTATAAGATAGGAATCATAGGATAAAATTTATATGATAGGTATCATAGGATGAATTTTATAAACGGATTTTTCACCAAATACCACTGAGTTTAAGCTTAATTCACCGTATACCACCAAAAACTTTGTAATACACCTTGTACCACTCAGATACTGTACATTAACACGAAATGCCTTTTTCCTTAACTGCGGTTAGTCTGCCGTTTGAGGGAATTTACCAATTTGCCATATACCACTACTGTGAAAAGTTATTTCACCATATACCACTATTTAAAAGTTATTTCACCACTTACCCATTATTTTGTAACGGTAATATTTTTTAAAAAAATAACCCTTGCACACTTGTAACGGCTACTTTGTTTATATAAATGTAGTGTTTGAGGGGAGATACTTATCAAGTCACACTTCTAAAAGCTAGAGTTAAAATGTAAACAAACTTTCATTGCTAAAAGTAATATGCAAGTTGAATTGGTAGCTGTTTGTCTTCAAAAAATTTATGGCTACATGATTTTGCAATGGTTGCAGTACATTTTATTGAAATGTAATAAACAAGTTTGTTGCAAAACAACTAAGTGCTTAACATTTTGTCTAAAAAAAACCTGACACAAGTTTGAAATGTTTTCCCCAAAAAATTATACATAATTTATGGCAGCTTCAAGGATTCTAACTGTCAGCCTTTTTCTTCCTCCCTCTTCCTTTGCCTTGCTGTGAACTGGATGCTGCATTTTCTGCTTGTTTTGCTGCTTCCTTTCTTACCTTACAGGTTTTTGCATTGTGTCCTAACTCCTTGCAAAGACTGCACTTGTTGTTCTTGTGCCTCTTTCCTTTTCTTGCTTCATGAGGTGCTCTCCTTCTCTGCTTAGTTGGTCTGCCTGCAGCTCTTTTGACAGTTGGTGGTGCTATTTTAGGCACATCAAATGCTGGCCAGTGACTTGGATCTGACATGGGATGGATGTGGTCTCCATAAGTCAGCTTGTAAGCAGCTCCCTTGAAGTATGGTGACACATAATCTCTGGCTTGAAGTCTTTAGCTGTATATGACCCTTAGACCATGTCTGCATGGTATTCCTGACCCTTGCCACTTCCCACAACCACTGGTCATTGTCTGAAGTGTGACAGGGAACTTCACATGCCCATCCATACCTCAAACTCTCCACCACCAGCTACTGTCACATGACACAATCTGGACTCCTCACTTCTTGTCTCCAAGACACCCTTAGCAAACTCTGTTAGCTCATTAGGATCCATATCAATTGCTTTGTCAAACCTAGAACCCATCCTTTTCATGCACCAATTCCTTACAGCTGGTTTAAGTCCAAATAAAAAAAACAAAAAACAAAAAAAACAAAACCAATACAAAGAAATCACAAACCATCAGAACATGGTGCTTACTGTTTAATCACAAAGAAATTAAGGGGTCAGATGTTACCTTCCAATAAAGTCAGGACAGGCAAATCTCTGTTGTCCTTTGTACATGAGTTGAATGACTCGACAAAGTTTGTTGTGTTATGATCACAACAAACTGTTCTGTCAAACATGTACCTACTCCATTGTTCTTCAGTAGCTATAAGGTAATCAAATGCTGCTGCATCATAATTCTTGATCTTTGACATTGCCTTGTCATACACATATGCATTGTATGCATTGGCTGCAATCCAAAAGAGTTTATGAAACTCTGTCCCCCTCCACCCAGCTTTTTTGCAGTTAGAGTACACACGCTGACAACATACCCTCCTAGTTGCTCTTGGGAATAACTCAAAAAGGGCTGATTCAACACCCTTCAACATACAAACACAAAGTTAGTTACTGAAAATTTACAAAAGAAAGACAAAGTTTAATTATTTTAAAAAGAAAGAAACTAACCCTCATCCTGTCACTTATAAAAGTTCAGTCATCCCTTTCAGATCCATATTGTGCAAATAAGAGCCTTAGGTTTCTGAAAAAGTAAGTCCAGCTGTCTATACTCTCTGTATCAACCAGACCATAAGCTATCACAAAAATCTCATTATTGCCATCAATTGACACTACAGTGAGCATGACTCCTTTGTAATAGCCACTGAGATGGGCACCATCAATCCCTATAATGGGTCTGCAGCCACCCAAGAACCCTTTCACCTGAGCTGCAAAAGAGATGAAACATGCCTTGAACTTTTCACCATTGCCCCCACTGTCAGTCCAAGTAATGAGAGCATATGAGCCAGGATTGGTGGCCTTTATCATCTCAGCATATTTTGGTAAGAGAGCATAGGACTGGGCAAAACCACCATGAATTTGTTCCCTGGCCAAGCACTTCACTTTGTAAAATAGCTTGGACTTTACTTGGATCCTAAACCTCTCCAGGCACATCCTTTGCAGTGCATCAACAGGGATTTCTGGGTTTGCTTCCAGATCTGGCCTCAAATGTCTACAAAGCCATGCTGAAGAGACCATATGATTCTCTTCTAGCCTCCCACAAGTTTTATGTTCCCCTTCCAGCTTCTTTATTGCCCAGTTGACTTTATCAACAAGGACTGCTGCATGAATCCTCCAACTGCAATCATTGATCAGACACCTTGCAGTATATCTATGATTGTCAGCATAGTCTACTGTCACAGCAAAGCCTTCTTGTATGCAAAAATCTCTGAAGACATCATGAAATTGTTCCTTGGTTTCAAATATTAACCAAGTTTCAAGTTGAATTGACCCAAATGGTAAGTTAGACCAGACCTTGCCATTTTTGTACAGCTTGTCTAAACATGAGTCCCATCCAGGTAGTCTTCAAAAGTCTTCTCTTGTATATTATCATCTAGGTCTTCTTCTTCCACAATATAGTCATCATCAAGGTTCAATTCCATATCCAAATCATCCTCAGCTTCTGAAAATTCATAGTCATCATCTTCACTATCCTCAGAAGACCATGGATCAGATTCACCATCATTGTCCTCAACTTGCACAGGTTTTTTGCTCCTTGTATTCACTTCCATCCCTCCTCTTTTATTCTTCCCATCCTCAACACCATACTTTTTTGCTGTGCTTCTTGGCACCCTCCACTCTTTTGGTTTAACTTTAGATTGCACTTTAGGCTTGGCAACAGAACTAGAAGCAGCACTAGATTTTTTTGGTTGTCTTGGTGCAGCTGCATTTGGTTGAGGTGGTGGTGGGGGTGGTGGTGGTGGGGGTGGTGTAGGCTGCCTAGCTTGGGGTGGTGATTCATGCATATGTGGGTTATTTGGGGAAGCATGGTGTGTTGGTGTTGATGGTGGAGAAGGGTGCTTTTGGGAAGCATTTGGTGGAGATGTAGGCTGACTTGGTTGAGTTGACTGCTTAGGTTGGGTTTTTTTCTTCCTTGGAGTTACTTTTTTCCTTCTAGGAGATTTTTTGGGTGGTGATGGTGTCTTACTTTTTTCATTTGAGGGTTGAGATGGTTCATTTTGTGAGGGTTGAGGTTGAGAATCTCCTAGAAATTACTCATCAGCTGCTGTAGTGTGGAATACCCTAACATATTCAGTCACATCATCTTCTGCATTCATAACATGGACCTCTACAGCAACAGTAAATGGTTCTTGAGCATTAAGCTCCTCCTCAACTTCTTCAGCCTCTGCATTTCTCCTTCTCTCTTCCTCCTTCTGCCTAATTTTGTCAGCCCTGATCTTCAAAGTTCTTGCCCAACTAGCTTCTGCAGATTGGAAGACAACAGATGGGTTTTCTCTCTCTTCTATGAACACTTCTATTTCATCCTTCCCTTCATTCCACTCCCACATTTTCAACATTGCCCCATCATCAACTAACTCTAGCTTACGATTAGTTCTAGGTTTACTCACAAACAAAGTGAAGTATTTAGGGAGGAAAACATTCTGCTTTACTGAATCCTCAAACATATACTCAAACAACTCCATCAAATTGGTCTTATCAGTGTCATCCACCCTAACATCAAAACTACCACCTGGCGAACGAACTAATAGCCACAATGCACTCATCCTAACAATGAATAATAAGCAACAACAATTAACATCACATCACCAGTTAACATCACATTCCAAACAATTTGCATGCAACACATCAAACTTAACCTAAATTAATGGATAATAAGCAACATAATCATTTTCGAATAGCAACCTAAGTTAATAGCATAACATCCAAACTAACATAATCATTTTCGAATAAACCCTAACCCTAACTCAATTTCGCAAAAAACAACAAAATCAGAGCTCGAAAATCAAATCAATGAGAAGAATAATACCTTTAGAAAGCTTAACCCAGCCCAGGTGAGAATTTCGAGCGAAATTCAGTCATGAACAAGTTCCTCTCTCAAACCGCACCAACCAGGTTCCGTGTTCAATCGAAAAGCCCTAATTATCGTCCTACTAGCAACGTCTACTTTAGATCGAAGAAAGTTTACAGCTTTTGGATTGATTTTTGAGGATCAACTTCAATGGTGAAGAACAGAGAGACGCTTCAATGGAAAGGAAAAATGGGGGGTCAATTTTATCGAATTACAAGTGTGATGTTTGGGGGAGTCAACCCTATTGATGGCGCCAGTTTGATGTATAAGGGTAAATTGGTAAATTCCCTCAAACGGCAGACTAACGACAGTTAAGGAAAAAGGCATTTCGTGTTAATGTACAGTAACTGAGTGGTACAAGGTGTATTACAAAGTTTTTGGTGGTATACGATGAATTAAGCTTAAACTCAGTGGTATTTGGTGAAAAATCAGTTTTATAAATTATAGTTAGTGGAGATGTATTTAGTTGTTATGAGGAAAAAGAATAATAATAATAATAATTAAAAAAGAAGTATAAGTGAGAAAAAACTTGTGTGGACATTGTTCACAATAAAATTATTAAGGAACAAAGTCCATACATGCTCTACTGACATATTGTTGAACATAGTGACCCTAATTTTAACACGGTAACCTTTATTAAAACTTATGTGACTTTATTTTATTGTGAACCTAAAATATGCATTTATAAGCCCACGTTATGTTGGACAGTACATAGTTTTACTATTTTAACATGGTGACCTTGTTTATTCATAATGACTAATAATGACTATACATAAACTTTCATTAAAAAACATTAACCTCTTATGACCTTTGTAATAACACATTGAAATTAAATTTATTCTAATAAAATAACTTTTATCATAACATAGTGACCAACTTTCTATTTATAAAATGGTTATAGTGTCTTTAATATTAGTGGTCCATAATAAACTTATTCGAACTAGATGCTTTTAATAATTTGTCGTTGTATCAGTGAAGATAGTAAGCTAAGGGACAAAAATTATAAAATATTTATTTAAGAGAGGGTAGTGAGGGGTGACAATAAAAAAAATAATGATCTGAGTTTTATCTTTTCTAAAATAGAAAGTGTTGTGATTATTATTAAACAGGTGTAAAAGGAAAGTGGTGCGGTCATTACTACGAAATTTATTGGTCCTAACGTGGACGCCTAACCAAATGGTATGTCTTATCTTATGCATCCATAACTATTTCTTAAATTACATATTTCTCTTCAATGTACTTGCTTAAAATAAAAAAAGGGAGTGTGGTATCTTGAAGCGAGACTGATAACTGATAACTTGCTATTTGATATGATTTTAGGGTGTTTTGAACCTAGTTTACTTGATAAAATTTGCGTTTTGGTTCATTTTTACTCTATTATTATGCAATTTTTGTGTATCCTATGCTTCACGGGTTGTTGGTGTTTTTGTTGAGATTCTAGGTTCAAAAGAATGACCAAATGGAGCCCATGGATACAAAGCCGAGGTTAGAAGCAAGAAGATGGTTGAAAGAAGCCAAGGAAAGGAGCAATATAGAAGAAAATATGGAAAAAAGGGGCTTAGAAGACCCTGCACGGCCGTGCCATACCTTGCACGTCCGTGCAGGAGGTTCTAGAAAGTTTCAACAAGCTGCCAAGGCCTGCACGGCCGTGCTTAATTTGGCACGTCCGTGCAGAAGAGGCTGCACGGCCGTGCCATACCTTGCACGTCCGTGCAGGAGTGCTCCAGAAACTTAGAACATTCTGCCAAGGCCTGCACGGACGTGCCAAATTAAGCACGTCCGTGCAGATGTAGCTGCACGTCCGTGCCAATATCTGCACGTCCGTGCGGAGCTGCTCGATTCTTAGCAGTACGTTCTGCCTCAATTCTGCCCCCTCTGCACGTCCGTGCCAAATCTGGCACAACCGTGCTTATGCTTGCACGTCCGTGCCGAATCTGGCACGTCCGTGCGGACCTGCAGTCAAGCCCGATTCTTGTTTTCTCCGTCCTTTTTATTTGGGGGTCTTATAAATACCCCCTTTGAGCTCATTTGTACGGACGAGGCAGTTTTTTTAGAGCTTTCCTCTTAGTTTGTAGTCTTAGAACATTAAATTCTCAAATCATTAGTTAGTTCTTAATTTTTAGCCTGGAAGCATTCAAATTCAATCATTGTAGAAGACAAAATCCACCATTGTTGCTCACTTTGAAGCTTCATAGTAACCATTTCTTACTCATCTTTTCTACTTCTCTTTACTTTGTTGTTGATTACTTGCTTAATTCTTGCATGCTTAGATTGTTAATTAGCTTAATCCTTAGTTTGAACTTGTTCATGAATTGCTTGAAACCTCTAATTGCTTTAACCTCCATGGATTGTGAGTAGTCTAAATTCTAGGGTTTGGGTAAAACCCTCAATGTAGTCACTAATTACTTGTTGCATGTGCTAATTTGGTTGTTGTGGGATGATGATTAGTTGAGCTTAAGTGGTTTAATTGCTTAGTTCTTGTATATGGACATTGCTAGAACTATTTATCCAAGCTTTCTCAACGAAGGATCGAGAGATGAACTTGAGTTAGCTCCCTTATGCTTAATTGACCCGAAATGCCATGAGAATAGGGATTACCGGTCAAGGGAATGTTTATGTCATCGTGATTATGCTTTAACACTTGTTTTATGCTATGTAACCACGAGAGTAGGTTGTATTCACGATTCAAGTAATCCCTCTAGCTTGAGAGAGTAGTTGGGTGCTTTAGATGACTTCCCCTAATTTGTCCCATTAATTTACCTTGATTGTAGCATGCTAATTGTGATTTGTGATGAAGTTGAGTGGTATAACCCGAGCCCTAGATTCCTCTTAATATTGTTAATCTCCTCTTAACTTTAGTTGAGTTGAATTAGAAGAAGTTACTCAAAACCAACCCAATTTAGAATTCATTTAGCTTATTTAAACGGTAGTACTCGGTGGTTGATTCAACGCCTCTCTTGGGTTCGACCCTTTCTTACCCTTACTATTGTTAGTGAGACCAAGATAGGAATCATTATCTTTGGTAGGCTCGACGACGGCCTATCAAATTTTGGCGCCGTTGCCGGGGAGGCAAAGTCACATTGAATGTATTATTGTTGAATGAGACTAGATGTGTGTATATGTATAGTAGTTTTCTTACCTTAATTTTTGTTTATGTGTGTTTAACTTGTGATAGTCATTGCTAACGTTTTTCTTAGCTTTGTTTGACTTTGCATGACACGAAAGAGTAAGCAATCACCGCTTATTCCCGTTGATCCAGAGCTAAATAGGACTTTGAGAAACGTGAGGAGACTCTTGCAAGGCACACCCGAGTTTTCCATTGTATATTCGGATTCCGATCCGGAAGAGGTTTTTGGAGCTAACGAAGAAGATAACATGGGAGAGAATCCTCCTCAACCATTGTTAAGAGACTATGACCACCCCAACGCATTCCAACTTCGGAGTGGCATACGTCTTCCCACCACAAATGCAAACAACTTTGAGCTTTCACCACAACTCATCCGTATGATTCAAAGCGATCAATTCGGAGGTAGTCCTCATGAGTGTCCTTTTGCTCATTTGGACAACTTTCTTGAGTTGTGTACAACCATCAAGCAAAACAACATTTCGGAAGAGTTTATCCGTATGCACATGTTTCAATTCTCCCTCCGTGATAAAGCAAAACATTGGTTGAGAACGGTTGAAGAGGGATAATTGAGTACATGGGACGAGGTCACTAGAGCCTTTCTTGGAAAGTATTGTCCTCCGGAAAAGACCGCCGAATTAAGAAGAAAGATCACCAATTTCAATCAAGACATTGATGAAACATTGAGTGAAGCTTGGGAGCGTTTCAAAGATTACACAAGGAAATGCCCCCACCATGGTTTTACATCATGGATCATTGTACAAAGATTCTATGACGGTCTTACTCCTATTTCAAGGGCCAACCTTGATTCCGGGGCCGGTGGTAGCCTCAAAAAGCTATCGGTGGATGATGCATATAAGATGATTGAAGAAGTGGCCAAGCATTATGCATATGGAGGTGATCGAAGGCAACCTCAAACAAAGAAGGGCGGAATTCATGATCTTAGTGCAATAGATCTTATTGCATCAAAGTTTGATATGCTAGCTCACAAGTTAGATCAAGCCACCCTCACACCCTCAAGCTCTTCCTCACAAGTCATGTCTTGTGAGACTTGTGATGATCACTTGTCCTCTTATTGCAACTCAACGAATCAAGAGAAAGCGGCGGCAATTGGGCAAAGGAATGAACAATACTCCCAATCCCACAATCAAAGTTGGAAGCCCCAACAAAACACGGGATGGAAGCAATACAACCAAGGCCCCCCACAAAATAACTACAACCAAAATCAAACCCAACCTCAAAACCACTACAACCAACCTCATTCTCAAAACCAACAAGCTCCATACCGCCATCCCAACCAAAGGGATCAAAACCACCAAAGATCACAATATAACCAACCCGCTCCTCCTCCTCCACCTCCTCAAAAGACTAGCCTTGAGTCCGTTCTTGAAACTTTCATGACTCAACAAATAAGGAACAATGCGGATATGAATGCAAACATCCAACAACTCCAAGCACATAAAAAGATAATGGAGAGCCAATTGGCTCAAATTGCACAACAAGTTGGAAGTTCATCCTCCAATCCTAGTGGTCACTTTCCAAGCTCAACGGTAGTGAACCCAAAGGAGCAAGCTAAGGCTATCACTTTGAGATCGGGAAGGGGTTATGAGGGCCCGGTTATGAGTGAAGAGGAGCCACAAAAGAGAGATGAGGGAGTTGTGGTGAGAAGTGAGGATGATTTTGAAAATGAAGTAGTTGAAGTTGAGAGAAAAGAGCAAAAGAGTGATGAGGGAGCCACAAAGAAAGATGAGGGAGATGAAGAAAGAATAGAAAAGCCCCCTATGAGAGTATATAAGCCCCCCATTCCGTTTCCTCATAGAATTGTAGAGAAGAAGTTGAATGAGAAGTTTTCAAAATTTCTTGAAGTCATGAGAGGACTTCAAGTGAACATCCCCTTTCTTCATGCTATGTCACAAATGCCTACCTGTGCAAAATTTTTGAAGGATCTTCTATCCAACAAGAGTAGGCTTGAAGAGAGTGCAACCATCTCCCTTCCTAAGGAGGTGAGTGCAATCATTCAAAACAAGCTTCCCCAAAAGCTTGGTGACCCCGGTAGCTATGCAATACCGGTGAAGATTGGAGATTTGGAAGCTATGGATGCTTTATGTGATCTTGGGGCAAGTGTGAGCTTGATGCCCTATTCTATTGCAAAGACCTTGAAAGTTGGAGACTTGAAACCAACAAGAATGTCCTTACAACTAGCCGACCGCACGGTTAGGCTACCTTTGGGGATTCTTGAAGATGTGCCAGTTCAAGTTGGAAGAGTATTTGTGCCATGTGATTTTGTAGTAATGGAGATGGAAGAAGATTCAAGTGTACCCCTCATTTTGGGGAGACCATTTTTGAACACCGCGGGAGTGGTGATTGATATGAAGGAAGGAAGATTGACTTTGAATGTGGGAGATGAGAAAATTTCATTTTCATTCTCACAAACTTTGAAAAAGCCATTGATTGATGAAGTTCATAGAATTGACACATTGGAGAGGGACTTAGAAGAGTTCCGAGAAAGATTGTATGAAAGAGATCCTTTACAAGCTACCTTAACGGGAAGCTTAGTTGAGGAGGGTGAAGAAGCAAAGGGGTATGATCTCTTGCTCAACCAACCTTTGGCCCACGAGGTGATAAAATTTGAAGTGCTTAACGTGGAGGCAAAAGAGGAGAGGACTACGCCTCCTCCTAAGGTTGAACTTAAACCCCTTCCCCCTCTACTTAAATATGCTTTTCTTGATGATAGTGAGAATTATCCCGTTATTGTCAATGCTAAGCTCGATGACACCTCTCTTGAGAAACTCCTAGTTGTTTTAAGGAAGTATAGAGATGTCATTGGGTACAAAATTGATGACATTAAGGGGATAAGTCCCACCATATGCATGCATAAAATTCTACTTGATGATGATCATGCTTCCTCGATTGAGCACCAAAGAAGGCTCAATCCCAATATGAAGGAAGTGGTAAAAAAAGAAGTTTTAAAACTTCTTGAGGCGGGCATAATCTACCCTATCTCCGATAGTAAGTGGGTTAGCCCGGTTCAAGTTGTGCCTAAAAAGGGAGGCATGACCATCATTAAAAATGATAAGGGTGAGACCATTTCTACGAGGTCGGTCACCGGGTAGAGGATGTGCATTGATTATCGAAAATTGAATAAATCCACCCGGAAAGACCACTTCCCACTCCCCTTCATTGATCAAATATTGGAAAGACTAGCATCACATAGTCATTATTGCTTCTTGGATGGATACTCGGGATTCTTTCAAATCCTAATCCAACCCGAGGACCAAAAAAAGACTACATTCACATGTCCTTTTAGCACCTTTGCATATCGAAGAATGCCATTTGGGCTTTATAATGCACCTTCCACATTTCAAAGGTGTATGATGTCTATTTTTTCTGACATGCTTGAATCATCAATTGAGGTATTCATGGATGACTTTTCTGTTTTTGGTTCATCTTTTGACACTTGTCTTTCAAATTTGATTAAAGTGTTAAAAAGATGTCAAGAGGTGAACTTAGTTTATGTCATCGTGATTATGCTTTAACACTTGTTTTATGCTATGTAACCACGAGAGTAGGTTGTATTCACGATTCAAGTAATCCCTCTAGCTTGAGAGAGTAGTTGGGTGCTTTAGATGACTTCCCCTAATTTTTCCCATTAATTTACCTTGATTGTAGCATGCTAATTGTGATTTGTGATGAAGTTGAGTGGTATAACCCGAGCCCTAGATTCCTCTTAATATTGTTAATCTCCTCTTAGCTTTAGTTGAGTTGAATTAGAAGAAGTTACTCAAAACCAACCCAATTTAGAATTCATTTAGCTTATTTAAACGGTAATACTCGGTGGTTGATTCAACGCCTCTCTTGGGTTCGACCCTTTCTTACCCTTACTATTGTTAGTGAGACCAAGATAGGAATCATTATCTTTGGTATGCTTGACGACGGCCTATCAATAACATACTACAAGATTGAAAATCAGAACTGCATGTAGTGTTTAGATAGGCTCGTATTTTAAAACGGGAAATTCCCTGTTTCTCATGGTGAGAAACGAAATTTGTTTCTCATGGGGGCATTTTTGTGAATAAATCAACAAATTTTTCAATATTGTGGGCTCCACAGTTGAAAAAGTTATTGATTTATTCACAAAAATGCCCCTATGAGAAACGAATTCGTTTCTCACCGTAAGAAACTGGGACATCCTCTTTTAAAACCCTAATGCCAGGTCATGCTGGGATTTAAGGTAATATAATAAGGAGTAATATAAGTCAAACTTGAAAAATATAAGTAATTAGAGGTGGTGTTGTATTAGACAAGGTGTTTATAAATGAAATAAGGTAGTTGTGCCATGAGGAAAATAATATAAAGAGATAGAGAAATTATTACCCTCATTATAGTTACCACCCTCCTTTAGTATAGCTATTACTTCGCCTTTCTTCACCTCATACCACACCAACACTACATATTATTTCTTACAATCACGTCATTACTATCTCTTCTTCTGTATTCATTTTCATTTTGCATGGTTTGTCCTTTGCTACCGTGATAATACATTTCCCTTAATAGTTCAAGCATGCCCTAAGGCTAGTTAGGATAAGGTTAGAAAGTACAGTTTGACCATTATGCCATTTTTTGGTACTTAGATTCAAAACAAGAAACTTGATAATAGTATTGTCATTATTCTTCATTTTAATTTCCAACCATGCATAACTCATGGGGCTAGAAAAAAAATATATCTTGATAGTGTCCAATTATAAATTATAGTCGAACGGAGACATGCATTTTCATCAGTCTCCTTCAACTCCGGATTCTCCTACACCAGCAAAATCAGAAGCACATCCTCCTTCAACTCCGGATTCTCCTACACCAGCAAATCAGAAGCACGGCCTCTATTAGGTGTTCGGGAGGATGAAGGTAAAGCTAGTGACAACCGATGGATTAAAAAAGTTTGGAAGAAAATTAAGAGAAATGTCAAAAGGGGCTATAAAAAAGGAAAAAGACTATGTAAAAAAGTGTTCAAAACCTGTTGATGGAGCAGGAACTACCTGTTAAATTTCGAAATAAATATGAAATGGGCCTGGGCAACCCAAATAAGGAGGAAGAGAGTTTGGTCCACAAACAAGGCTTTGGAGCTTCCATACTAAAACCAATTGGCAATAGTAGGAGGTACTCCTCTACCTAATAAAGTGAAACTATCTCTCCTCTTTCTCCAATGTGGGACACTCATAAGTGGACTACAATGGCTTTCAACACTACCAGCTATGCAGCAGCAAAGAAATAAAGTAGCAACTCAAAAAAAGGATGCAGCCTCAAAGTCAAACAATGCACCTGCACCAAGAAGCTAAGAAGTGTTAGGAAGAGAGCATCAAAGCAGCAACAACAGCCTGCACGTGAAGAAACGGTGTTAATTCAGCCGCCTTTGCCATCCTCACAAGTGTCAATCTCACCATATATCTGCACCAAATCAGCCATCACAGCCTCAACAAAATGCATGATGTTCCAACCAATTGTAGAATACCACGTGGCAGGGACTTGGGGAGGGACACACGTTGATTGCTGATTGGATTGGGGTTGTGTCGTATTGACGGCCGTTTACGACGGCCCCGAAGTCTGTCACAGAGATGGTTGGTGGCTTGGAAGGGAGTTGAAGGGATGATGACGTGGTGGGGTGTGATTGGGTGGGGGAGATGTTGAGTAAGAGAGAGAAAAGGAGAAGGATTAAGGTGGAAATGGATGAGAGCATCTTGGATTTAAGATTATTTGCTGGCCTGGGTACCAATTTGTTTCATTATCAATAAGAACTTGGAAAAATTGCCCGGAATAATCCCACCTTTGCCTCATCCGCCCAAAATAATCCCACCTATCGATTATTTTTTAATAACCCGTTCTTTATACCTCTCCCGCTCCCAATGGTCCCAAGTGACTTGAAACCGGCTAAACAAGTTACCATTTATAATTTGGAATTGTTTGGACACGTGTCACCACATAGTTGGTTAAAAAATTAATAAAAAAATTATTGAAAAATAAAAAATAAAAAATAAAAAAAAAACCCACAACCACCGTCTCCAGCAGTCCCACCACCGAAACCACCTCGCCTAACCTAGCTCACCCACCAAAACCAGCTCCTCTACCCACTTTTAGCCCACTGAAACCACTTGTTTAGCCAGAATTGGGTAGGTTGTTGTGGGTTTGTGCGTGGTGGGTTTGTGCGTGGTGGATTTGCAACGGTGTGAGGGAGAGGGAGGGGGTGGTCGGAATCGGGGAGGGAGAGGGAGGGGGTGGTCGGAATCGGGGAGGGAGTGGGGAGGGCTGGTCGGAACGGAATCGGGGAGGGAGAGGGGGAGGGAGACAGAATCGGGGAGGGAGAGGGGAGGGCTGGTCGGAAACGGGGAGGGAGAGGGAGGGGGTGGTCGGAATCGGGGAGGGAGAAGGGAGGGGTGGTGGGAATCGGGGAGGGAAAGGGAGGGGGTGGACGGAATCGGGGAGGGAGAGGGGAGGGCTGGTCGGAAACGGGGAGGGAGAGGGAGGGGGTGGACGGAATCGGGGAGGGGAAGGGAGATGGTGGCCGGAATTGGGTAGGGGAGGTGGGGCTGCAGGAATCTGGTTTCTGTTTTTTTTTTTTTTTTTTTAAACAAAAATTCTGGTTTTTTTTTTTTAATTTTATTTTTTGACCAATCATAGACTGACACGTGTCTAGTAACTTGTAATAACAAGTTATGTGACCGGTTAGGACCATTTAAAGCGGAAGAGGTATAAAGGTGGGATTATTTAAAAAATTCAAAGGTCGGATTATTATTAGCGGACGGCCCAAAGGTGGGATTATTGCGGGCAATTTTTCCTAAGAACTTTGTATTTTTTCCAACTTGGGTTGAATAGTATTAACCATTATCAATAAGGTGTTGGGTCTGGCAACGAAACTGATGTGGGTTGGATGGTCTGGAGTGGGCTGATGGGTTTGGTGATGGTTATGCTCAGTTCGTGGGGGGAGGATGTGAAAAGGGCCCTACTGGTCTAGCCGTCTAGGGCTAAGCAAAATTACCCGAAAATTCGAAAATTTGAAAAATTAAACCGTAACCGAACCAAAAATTAAAGTACTCTTTCCAATAACTGTTACCTGATCTGATAATTTGTTATCGGGTACGATTATTGGGTATCATCTTAAAATTAACAGTTACCCAATATGATCCAATAAACAATTTTTTTTCCTACTTAAATCTATTTATCCAAAATCTAAACTCTTACTAATTACTATACATCATAATCACTTCATAATTTAAATGATTAATAATATTATTACGAGTAGTATTTTGGTCATGATCATGTGGTATTATTGCTAGTGAATGTTGAATAATATCATAATAACTAAATTATAAAGTATAACTTTTCATTATTGGATATCACATTGTTTACTTGATAACCGATGCGAAAATTCGAGTAGCCGAACTCATCGATTTGGTTAGTGGATATCATTTTTAGTGTTATTGGTTATCGTGTACCCGAACCGATAGTGTTAAGACTGTTAACAGTACGACTGTACGAGTACCCGACCATGCTCACCCCTACTTATACTACGTAAATTTTACTTTTTTTTTTTTTTTTTTTTTTTTTTTGTAGTTAACATATTTTTTACCTGCAATACTTTGACTTAGGGCATGTTCACATTTATTAAACCGAGCTGAACTCAACTGATTGGAGCTGAACTGAACTGAGCTGAAATGAATATTTTATGAGAGAGGGAAATTAGGAGCTGAACTGAACTAAACTAAACTGAAGTGATTAGAGTTGAACTGAACTAAACTGAACTGATTGGAGCTTAATTGAACTGAAATTAAGTAAATGTAAACAAACCCTTATGCAATACGGAGTACTTCGTACTTTTGTAGTTGTCCGTATTTCACTTCAACTAGCTTTTATAAGTTATAGTTAAGAAAAAATATACTTCATATTTCGTTTACAATCATGTGTAATTTTATTAGATTTGTTTTGGTTTTTAGTTTATAAAATTAAGGTTTTATGATATTCATCTCCGTAAATAAAGATATAAGCGTGTGTTATGTATGAAATGAAAGTCTGCAAATAAAAATATATTGACAGAAGAAACTTGTTTTATATAAGCGTGTGTAAATTAAACAAGCATGAAATGAATTTAAACTTATTCTATACCATTATACCAAACCCAAATGATATAACTATATAAGGTATGCCATCCAACAAATTGATCCAAAATTACTTATTAGTTTCTTGTTCGTGTGAAAAAAAAAAAGGAAAATTCTATATGATGGCCTCCAAGTTTCAATTTTTCTACATGGAAGATAAACTTTTTTCCAACTCTCTATGGTGGCATCCAAGTTTTGAAAAATTAACCATAGTGCCCTTCTTTAGGTTTATGACTAACTTTTTTAGTTTTTAGTCAACCATAATTAATAAAAAAATTAAGTAAATTAAAAAAAAAAAAAACACCCGCCAATCCTCATTGCCACCACCACCACTCCGGAACCCTAATCCCAACCAGCTATCACCGCCCAGATCTCCCACATTCACCTCCTAGACCGCCCACACCAGCCAGCCCAGTAATCATTTTCCCGGCCAACCACACAACCTCCCTCACCAAAATCGCAAACGAACTCCCACCAAACCTCCCTCACTGAACTACTAACAAACTCCCACCAACCTCCCTAAGCGGAACCGCAAACAAACTCCTAAAGCCCTCTACCCGAACCTGAAACCCATACCCTAAAGAATTGGGAGTGATTTGGGCTATGGGGTTTTGCGTTTGGGTTGGGGGTTTTTGGTTTGGGGTCGCCGGCTCGCGGTGGAGGAAGGGGATGGGTTTCGTTTTGGTTAGGGGGAAGGGGAGGTTGGTTGAATCAAGGAAGGGGAAAAGGAGTGGTTGGGGTTGGGTTGATCAGTCGGCCGGTCGGTACGAGGGGGAGGGAGAGGTCTGGGGCGACGCGGCTGGGTTGTGCGGTTAGGGTTCTGGCGAGTTGGTGGTGGCTAGGTTGGTTGGGGTGTTTTTTTTTTTTATTTATTGTTTATAAAATAATTTTTTAATTAAAAAAAAAAATCAAAGGTTAATCATTTTTATCATAAAGGTTAGCTAAAAAAAAAAAAAAAAAAAACCAAAGGTCACTATATTTTATTTTGCGAAAATTGGGTACCACTTGATAGAATTGGAAAAAAGATTGTATTCCACGTACAATTTCTAAATCATGGAGGCCACCATGTAAAATTTTCAAAAAAAAAAAAAAAAAAAAAAAAAAAAAAAAACTCGTTATTCATATGTCATGTATAAATATAATGCATAGACGTAACGGGTTATTTAGATGTAACCTGAAGCAGTGAGCATGAGAAATGCGAAGACGACAAGATTTACAAAGAAGAAATTTGCTTGATTGCCTCATTAGTCATTACATTATGTTCTAATCTATACTACTACTAGATCTGCATAGCTACACAAGAAAACAAATTCCTTTGATTACAATATTTTCAATAATTGATACTCCGTACTTCATATTTGTTTTGGTGTAGGGCTGCCTTAATAGTGTACGTGATCTCTGATAAAGTGATAATGTTATGTTACAGAGTACATCGTTTTTCTTGTGGTGGTAGTGGACCTTGTGATATGTCTATTTTTCACCTAAAATCATAGATGATTCACAGTGATAAAACAAGCTAGCAAAAGAGAATTAAAAAAAAATATGATGATTCATATTATTTACGAAGTAATTATTGGTTTAGAGAGATCAAGCAACTACAACATAAGATGAAGACTTTTGAATACAACTATGGTCCTTATACACTTTAGCCAACTAAGTTAATTGATATTTTAATTTAATAAACATATTTTGTGTAAAAGTTATTGGCTAGCCAAAGTAATATAGACCATTATGTGCAGTGTGTGGTTCCTACAGGCGTGGGTACCTTGCATGGTACAAACGTTTCGCAGAAAGAACATAATATATACATGTAAATAACATACCGTTATGGTGAAAAGAACATACTATTAAAATATAATGAACATATACCTAATGTAAAAAGAACATATTTGTACCATAAAAAAAGTGAAAAGAACATGCGTCTATAATGTTCTTTAATTGTTAGTGTAATGTACTTTTATTTGTGATATAATATTCATTGCATATTGTAAAATGTTCTTTGAATTTTGTCTTAAAATTATGATGGGTTACATGGGTATATATAAGTAATGTTCATTACATAGTATATATTATCATGTTTTTTATTAATGTTATAGATGTTCTTTAGATATAAAAGAAAAACATAAAATTGAATTTATTTACAAGACTGATATATGTTCTTTACAAAATAACTGTATGTTCTTTGTTCTTTACAAAATAAACATGTTCTTTCCGCATTTTTTGGTCTGTACCAAGCAAGGTACAGGCTGTTGTACCTTAAAATTTTCACATTATGTGGGAGCAAGAATCGAACATAAAATTCTTGCTAGTTTAACATTATAAAACAGTTACCTTAGTCCTTATTAAAGTTACGGATATAGTTTAGGGTTAAGATAAGGGCGTCTTGATGAATCCAACGTTTCATCTAATCTAGCTTCGTAGGTCATTTTTTATTAGGACTCATTAGATTCACTTTATCTCTCAAATGATAGATTTTCCATTTTTTTTTTTTATATTTTTTTTTTTTATGATCAACCAAACAAAAAATCCCCTATTTCCAAATATACATAATTTGTCAGTGGTCCCCTATTTTTTTTTTCCTTTTTTTTAACCAAACAATACTAAAAACTACAATCCCATTGATTGATTGCTACTTTTCTTTTCTAAATTATTGTTCACCAGTCTTGCTGTGAAAAGTCAAATAATATTAACAAAATTAATGAGTTTCAATGATCATTAGTGTATTATTGATTTTACTGCTATTTCACCAAATGCCACTGAGCAATTTAAAAATTCACCAAATGCCATCGGACTTTTCAGAATTCACCAAATGTCACCCAATTTTTAAAAAATTCACCCAGTGCCATTAATGACCAACGGTCGTTAACTCCGTTAGTAATTAGGGGTTAATCATGACACGTGTCATGATATAATTGGACCATTTATCTTAATTCATAAAAATAAAAAAAAAATACAAAAAATTAAAAAAAAACAAAAAAAAAATAATAAAAAACCCCAAAATTTTCCCAGCCACCCCCACCACCGCCAAACCCTAGCCCCTCCCCTCATCTCGCCGGAAAATGGCCAGTCACCACCGGAACCACCTTCACCACCATTCCCTATCCCTCTCCCCCTCCCCTCCCTTCACGCAACTCACCTCTCCCCAGCCCAGAAACCGACTTGCCGGAGTCAGGATCACCCGATGTCGCCGACCCCTATCCATTGTTACTCTGACCTCCCCTACCTGACGCGCCACCCATCCAATCTAACCTTAACCCGCGAAAACCACAACCAACCTCCACCTTCACGAGCAACGATTCTGATTCAACCCCTTCCCGACCACCGCAGCCTCGAAACCACCCCCTCCCCTGTTTTCCGGCTCCTATAAACTCCATTCCCTTACCTTAAACCACCAAAAATTGACTTAACCCAGAAAACCCGAAACCCTAGAAAATGGGATTTCTGGGTTGAACCCGAAACCCAAATGGGTTCTGTAGTGGTGGCGGTGAAGTGGCGATGCATCCGGGTTGAGGATTTGGACCAATTGGTGCGCGTGGGAGCAGCGAAGGGGGCTGGGTGGTGCTAATCGTGGCTGATGTGGTGGTGCGTGTGGGTGTAGCAAAGGGGGCAGTGTGGTGTTTGGAGGTGGAGTTGTTGTGGTGGCAGTGAGGGAGCAGGATTTTTGGGGTCGGGACGAGCAGCGTGGGTGGTTTTGAGGGTCGGCGGTAGGTCAAGTGGGGAGCTACATGGTCGGTCGGCCGATTGTTGGTGGTTCCGGTGGTGACTGGCCGTTTTCCCGGTGAGATGAGGGGAAGGGTTAGGGTTTGGCGGTGGTCGGGGTGTCTGGGAAAATTTTGGGTTTTTTTTTAAATTTTTTGTTTTTTTTTTTAAATTTTTTTTAACTTTTTTTGTTTTTTTTTTAATTTTTATGAATTAAGATAAATGGTCTAATTATGTCATGACATGTGTCATGATTAACCCCTAATTACTAACGGAGTTAACGGTCGTTGGTCATTAATGGCACTGGGTGAATTTTTTTAAAACTGGGTGGTATTTGGTGAATTCTGAAAAGTCCGATGGCATTTGGTGAAATTTCCGTTGATTTTATGACTATTTATAAAAATATAAATATAATGTTAGAGCCCACAGGCCCCACACAATACTTTAAGATGCCTGTTGGCGAGGCCAAGGCCAAACAAAATCAAGAATTTGATCACCTGATTAAGATAATAATTACAGTTTTAAACACCCAAAAAAAAAGGAGTTTTTGCAAAATTAAGAACTATATACCTGTATATGACAATTTGCCAGCAAAGTCGTTGTAGTATAGTGGTAAGTATTCCCGCCTGTCACGCGGGTGACCCGGGTTCGATCTCCGGCAACGGCGTTTTTGTTTTTTAATTTTCGAATGAGGTTTTGCCAACTTGCAACAAATTACTCATAAACTTACAAGTTTTAAACTTGGGATTTGGGGTTATCAGGTTATGTTAAATTGTTTATGGAGTATAATCCTGGATTTATTTGTATCATATCGTTGTTATTGTTATTGTCGTTGTTACTCTGTATTATTATGTAATTTGTGCGAATATACTAATAGATTAAGTACTTATTAGATCCCCTTTTTTCAAAGGGTTGCATATCGATATGGTTTATTTTGTACGTCAGGAATTCGCGAGTTACACGGGTCTTATATATCATACTAGTATCGAGAGTCAGGAATTCACGTACAAAATAAAGAGGATCATTATCTTTGACTCTCGATCAATGAGATAATAATATGTGTTTAAAAACAGTTCTTATATATCATACTAGAAAAGAACTATAACAAGGGTAAAGAAGGATGTCTCCATTCATTATAGATAATAATACATAATAGAATCTTGAATTAAGAGAAATTAGAAGCCAAGCTTTAATTTCATCTTAACCCAAGAATTGCTAATACACAAATAAAAGTAGACATACATGAATTCCTCAATCCTCATCCCACCTTTGTCAAATTTATTTATTTTAGCTAATAGAGTGTCGTACACTACGATCATAACAAAGGTGTAAGGGACGATAAATCCCTTAAAAACCTTTTATGCACAATAAAATATCCTCTTTATAGGATGAGGAATACAAGCACCCGAGCAACATTGGTCCGGAGGTCCGCCACCGGAGCATATACTTCCTGATGGGGAACAACCAAGCCTGTTTTCGTGTAACTTTTGCTTCAAGTTTAAAGCAATAGCTTGTTCAGCTTCTCTAAGTGATGCCAATGCTTTCACTTCGGCCTCCAAGAGCTCTTGACTCATAATTTTTGGGGTGGAAGTAGTTGATCGAATAATTGGTTGAAACTTCGCATCTATCACAGCTGACAAAGAAAACAAAATGGACATTGTTAATACTACCTCTATTATATTATGTGCAACTTTGAATTATTTTATATCTTACAATCAATACCCCAAATTTACATATAACAATTAACGGAGGTACTAATTATCTTGCAGCTTCAGAAATCTTAAAGTAGCAAATGCGACAATTAATTTGAGACAAATAAAATACTTGTATATATGTTATTAATAAGTGATTAATATTGGGGTATAATTATCTTTTCAAGTACCAATAGAGGGGTATATGCGTCTTTTCATATACTATTTGAGGGGTACATGTGTAATTTCCTCACCAAACAGTAAAAGCAAAAGGAAAACAGTAATTGAACATCTCACTAAAAGTACTGAATAAATGCCCCTGTTTTTTCAATATATTTACAAAAATCTCATCAGAACAAAAATTCATTTATCTGGCAGATTAGCTTGTATTTTCCCCTAATATTGGTCTAGTGTGTTTATATTAATGGGACAATTTTAATCAACTCTACTCCTCTACCCGATACTCAATGTATGAATAGTTAAGAAATAAAAGTACTTGACTACAAATTCATTCTATTAAAAAATTTCATCAATCATTTATTTACAAATTAATTTAGAAAGTGTTTCGGGTGAAAACAATGGGACCTTGTCGAAGGTCCAATGAAATGGAGAAGACTGGATTCGATCCAAGTGATGTTGGGCCGAAGGTTTCCTGCACAGTAAACACACGTAAACTAGCCTCGGGGGTGTTGCCGAGGAAGGCCCCTCCGATGCTAAAGTCAGTACAATGTGTAAGAAGTAGACACTATGCAAGAGAGTTTGTTGCTTGAGGCTTTGTTGTAATGTCTCTAAAAAAATGAAATATTGATGGCTTTTATACCTCTTCATATATGGAGAAGTTGGGCCTTAGCCCAATTGGCTTGCTTTGTGGGCTGACCTTTGACTTTAGCACAATTGGAGAGTTGAACCTTGACCTTGGGCTTTTAATTGGATCATTTAGTGCTTAGGCCCAATTTGGACTAAATTGGACCCAAACAACTTGCCCCCCAGACCCGATTTGGAAGGATGACGGGTCGGGTTTGATTTAATTCAGAAAAGGAGGGAAGTAAATGATTTAATTAACCCAATTGAATTTAAACCGTAATTAATGAGATAACAACGATTAATGATTGTGGAAGTTGGACGGATAATGGGCAGTTTAATCACAAGATCATGTGTTTAACGGTTACTTAGTGGGGTATTTAAGAGAAATTAAAACGCAGACTCCTTGTATTCCCGTACCTGGAGATATATAAACAGAGGCGCGTCATTTCTCCTCACTCATTCACCAACACAAACCCAGAATTCTCAAGAGAGAAATCAAGAACCCGCATCAAAACTTCGCAAATTCCCCGAGCATTAAGCTTAGAAACTGAGACTTGCCACTACGAACTCGTAAATCGGCAATTTTCGCTTCAGATTAAGGTAAATTCCTTTGATTTCAGTTTATTTTTCTTCGAATTCGAACTCCTTCCCCTTTTCTTTCGACTTTTTCTTCGAAATAATCAATGGCAAGAGGAGTTAGAGGCAGAGCCCGTGCTCCAAGAAGAGCAAGGCCGATTCCCGATCCTAGGAACAGGATTGGGACCTGGAATGGTCAAAGGCCGGAGTCTGACCCTGCCGAAGGGATTAGGGCGACTCCCCTTTCCTCGGCTCCTCCTCAGAGAACGGAGGAGCCGAGCGCTTCTGGGCAGGATGATGAAGTTCCCGCTGTCCTTTGGGATATCCTCCCCGGGTTTTCAGAATGGGAGAATGCCGAAGTTGCTTCGGCCATGATAAAGAACCGCCCTTACCCATGGTGGGTGGAGAATGCCGACCAGTACCGGTTTGCCGAACAAATTGAATTACATTACGGCATCCTTGAAGCTGATGGGTATTGGTGCCGAATGCCCTCGGCATCCGATAGAATCCATCGTCCACCCCCGGGGTATGTGGGGGTGTACACAAGACAGCTTCAGTACGGGCTGAGGTTCCCTTTGGACGTATTCGTCCGAGACTTGCTGATCCATTACAACATCTCTCTATGTCAATTAACTCCCACCAGCATCCGAAGGGTAATGACATATTTATGGGTCTGCAAGTTCTTCAAGTACGTGCCGAACCTGCACTGCTTCAAAAAGCTCCATCGGCTAGTGCCAAATATTCAAAGTGGGCACGGAAGCCATGGTTCTGGGTGGTACCGGATTGAGTCCCGGCCCCAATACCTAACCATGTGGCCAAACGACTCTTCAGACAAGGACTGGAGAGGTCAATGGATTTGGGTTAGGGCACCCACAGACCCGGGCCACCCTTGCGTCTTCAGCGCTCCCCGGTATCTCGCTGAGCCTGATCCCGAAATGGGAAGTCTAGGTCCCCCCGCAGATAACGGGACGGATCCGAACCTGGATCAGCAACATATCTTCGGCAAGCTGCCGAACCGGGGGGGCAGTGGCCGAATGCAGCATATCCCGGAGACTTGGCTCCCCGATACGCATTACGTTTTCCAAGAGAATATGCTAGCAGCTGTCGGCCTCAGCCGAAAGTTTAAGGATGGTGAGCTTCTTCGGCTGGGGCCGAGGCCTTTTAATTATATCTTCTTCTCTCACTTCGCTTTTTTATGCTGTGCCAACTTAACTGGATTGACCTTTCTCTTTTTCTTTTTCAGAGCGGGACGAGACCAACGTTGGCATTAACTACGCTCGTCTTGGTGTCAACCGAGAGCGAGTTGTAACTGAACGGGCCCCGTCTATCACTGAGCCGAGGCATAGGGAAGTTCATCTAGACTCTTCCCACTTCCAAATTGAGGCTGTTGCTCTGTATCAGAGGCAGAAGCCTTGGTGGAAGAAGAGAGATCCTTGGTTTCAGCTGCTGGACGAAGAAGCTGAAGCTGCCCGCACAGCCGAAGAGGTTGCACGGGTTCTCGAAGCTTGCGAAGGAGGAGAAGGGTCCTCCAGAGCTGCTGAAGCCGAAGCTGCAGCTAGAGAGGCTGAAGAAGACGAGGCTTTGCTGAAGACCTCGGTGAGCTTTCAGACTTAACTTTTTTCTTTTCTTCTTTTCTTTTTTTTTTTTTTTTTACTCACATTCTTCCTCCCCCCTGTCTGTTACAGTCTGAGGCTCTACTCAAAGTCCGTGTCTACACCCAGGAAGAATATGAAATGGGTTTCAGAAACGGGTTCAGAGTGTGCCGAAGAGTCTGCCTTCATGCTGAGCCGAAGTTAGACTGGTCCAAATGTGCTGAATGGGTCCAGGATCCCGAAGACCCTCATATGAGGTATGCAACTCCAGCCGAAGCTGAAATTCTTAAGGCTGAGGAAGCCGAAGAGGAAGCTGAGAGAATGGAGTTGGCAGCTGAACAGAGGGAAAGGGAGGCTCGGCAGAGTGCAAAGCCTGCTTCTTCTGCTGCTGGGACTGAGGCCACCATGGGGCTCAACACTGATCAGTCTGATCCTCAGGCTGAAGCATAGGAACTCGGGCAGTCGTCTTCAGAATCTTGCGGTTCATCATGCGCTTAACTTTAGACTTGCCGCTTTCTGAATTTTTTGCCTTGTTTTTTGCTTCAGCTTGCCTTGTCGTACAACAGTATTATTATTTTTTGCTTACGTACGTATTTCGGCAGCTGTTATTTTCCGCTTGTGGGCGGCTGCCGATACCGTTAGATTGAACTTGTAGCTCAACTTTTTAGCATGAATTACTAATCTGAAGCTCTTTTCTTCAGTTGCTTTATTTTTGAATGCTTTATTTTTGAATGCTTTACTGCTTCTGTTTCTTCAATTCTGCCGAACATACTTGCACTGATAGCGCTTCTTGTCCCCCCAGCAATTGAAGTATAACTTCAGCGAAGATTGACTTCATCTGAAAGTTGGATATCCGAAACACAGGGCCAACCGAAGGCAATGTTTCGGATAATGGCTCTCTGGGATACAAGGCTCAGTTAAGGCAATATCCCAGAATTTGTCCATGGACTCGTGTCTTTGGAGAACAAGTCTTACTGAAGTTTGACTTCAGCTGAAAGACCAGTGTTCTTTAAAAAGACGAGTTTTGTCAGCCATCTGAAACCCAGTTACCCGAAGGCGAAGGTTTCAGACAAGGCTGATATAAAAATTTTCAACTGTTGCTGTTATCCTTGATTTTCTTTCTATCTTTGAAAAATGGATACCCGAAACACAGGGCCAACTTAAGGCAATGTTTCGGATAATGGCTCTCTGGGATACAAGGCTCAGTTAAGGCAATATCCCAGAATTGTCCATGGACTCATGTCTTTGGAGAACAAGTCTTACTGAAGTTTGACTTCAGCTGAAAGACCAGTGTTCTTAAAAAAGACGAGTTTTGTCAGCAATCTGAAACCCAGTTACCCGAAGGCGAAGGTTTCAGACGAGGCTGAATAAAAAACTCTTAAAGAGTAGATAGAACAAAGAAAATTTTGAAAAGATAAAAAGTTGTAGACATTTATATAAATGGCGGCTCTAAGGCCTTTCATTAGTTCAAAATGTACTTACAAAGATTGTTCTACCCCGAAGGGTTTACACATGGTATTTTTTAAGTACACCAGCGTTCCAGTGATTTTTCAACTCAGTTCCATCCAACTGCCGAAGTCGGTATGTCCCTGGCTGAAGCTCGTCATAAATTTCATAAGGTCCCTCCCATGCAGCTGAGAGTTTCCCATGGATTCGGCCTTTCTGAACTGCAGCAGCATTCCGAAGGACAAGGTCTCCAATTTTGAGAGGCCTTGCATGGACCCTTCGGTTATAAAATTTGCTGATTCTCTGCTTATAGGCGGCCATTCTATCTCGGGCTGAGTCTCTTACTTCGTCGAGGAAATCGAGAGATTCCCTCATCAGTCGCTCATTCTCAGCCGAGAAGTGGTGCACTCGAAGGCTCTCAGAGCCAATTTCCACTGGAAGGACGGCTTCGGCACCATACACCAGTTCAAAAGGTGAATAGCCCATTGCCTCTTTTTCAGTTGTCCGAAGGGACCAAAGGGTTC